CTAAACGCACTGAGCGAATCCATCGCCGCATATTTCCTTTCTCGCCTGGCCAGATACAAGTGTAATTGTTCCTGTTTTGAACCTTACTTAATACGTCTGAATAAAGGCCTTGCCCAAGGATATCCACCCACAATGATCTAATTAAAAGCACTGGGCGAGTCCATTGCCGCGTCTTTCTTTTCTCGCCTTGCTCTGTGTAAAAGTGAGAATTTTTTCCTACATATTTTGAACCTTAATACGACTGGAAAGAGGCCTTTTATTTACGGGTCTTCTTTTAACTTGAAGCTTCATCGTGATTATTTTAAAATAATCAATTATCGTAATTCAACAACGCTAGCTCGCGTGATTTTATTGAAAGAACTAGCGAATCTAACCAGGTAAGTTAAATAAAGACACAATGACCTTAAAAAAATACCCAAACACCATTTTTTCTGCATATTTTTTACTATTACATGTAAACCAGGTATTTCTATTTTTAGCGCACTTAATATCCGGTGAGTTTAAAATTATTTAATAAGTTGTTTTCTTCTTATCTTTCCTCAAAGTTGTTACTTTATAATATTTTTTATATGGGATTATCTAATGATAAATCCCTAATAATATTAAAAATTCGGCATTAATTTAACCAGTATCAGTTTTTTTCAGTTTTTCAGTAGATCTGACTCGATCAAACCATTTGTGTAAAATGAGCTTTTAAACAATATTGTTTGTACCCGTTAATTACAGTTGAAAACAATTATCAATACATTTTTGAGTAAAGTTAAAATGCTTATAATAATAAATAAATACTTTCTTTCTTTCTTTCTTATAATCCTTTGTTTAAAAACAGAGTTTGTTTTGTGTATTAAGGCCTTAAAATATTTTTTGGGCCATCCAAAGATAATTATGTACACATTTTTTTTAGGTTGACTGTTCTATTGTTTATTAAACGATATTAAATTAATCTATGGAACATTTTCATTTTATCCAGCAGGAACTCTACGGGGGAGTGCCGCGAGAGGGGTGGGGGGGAGGCGGCAGACGTCCTGCTCTCTCTCAAGCATGCCGTCGTGCACGGAGACTGCGCCTCCGAGGCGGTCCACCCACAGGTACGTTCAGCTCTTTCTCTCCTATACAAATCCCCCTAAGTAAACAGAGACAGATTGATCACGGTTGGAAAATATTCGACGGTTACTGTTCACAGCGCATTTTCAACTTTATACAGTTTGGAATAGAATTGGGTTTAGGGCACGTTGTTCAAAAAGGGTGTACACGAGGGGAGTTTAATAAAAATATCAGAAATCTGAAGGGTAGAGAAATTATTGTAATTAATATGGCATCGCGGTAAGGCTTCGCTATTGTGGAGGCTTGTTTGAGCTATATCGGTAAGGGCACGGCTTTGCGAAATTAGAAATCTTTTGTTGGCGGTCTTCAAAAAGGAGGCATTGTTGATTAATGTTGGGTATTTAGACGGCGTTTTTATTCGTGGTCGAACTGCGGACTCACGAAGCCGCTGTTTACTTAGTGCTATTGTTTTGTATGGAGACGCGACGCACCGTGACGGATATATTAGAATCTTGTTCTACATGTGGCTACAACACTGCCCAGTAAATGTCAATTGCCAATAAGTAAGGTTTCACAATTTGAAAATACATACTTATAATACTGCAAAATAAAAATTAAGTGAAAAAGTTATCCATCACGTAGTTTTGCTACGAAGTGTTTCGTAGCAGCAGCTACGTCAGAATAGGTATTACAATCTACGACTCGAATACAATAATACATTAGGACTCATAGTCCAGTCATTTCGTCCGAAAAAAAAGGCAAATAAAAGAAAATGAATTTGCGCTTCTAATTTTTTAATATGTTGTATGGGATACCTAGAAAAGCTTAACTTGAGATTGTCGACCAAGCTTTCCTAGGAGCTTTCGCCGCCATCTTGGAAAACGCTTAAAATTTGTTTTTCGGCAATAACTCGGCTATCCGATGAGATTCGAAAATTTTTGTAGGACACTTTTTGTAGCTTTCTTTGTGCTCTACAATAACGCCCGAACCATTTTTAGCGTATCATGCATCGTTATCGAGATATCGATTTAACACCTTTGCTGCGGCAGTAACTTTCTAATACTTTCCATTCCTTCGGTACAAGGTCAGTAAACCTGGTATTAAAACTTACATTGTGGCGGCACAAGGCTTAAAGACCTTGTAATATTTAAGATATATTAATTTTATTTTTGGCTTCATGTTAATAGATATTGTGTTTTTTTTCTTTGAATATTAATAATAATGCATTTATTGACATACACCTGAAGGCGTTCGTGAATAACTTGTTTAGTATAAAAATTATAGCTATATTCAAAATACAAGGCTTATGCACCCTGTGCCGCACTGAAGTAGGGAAGTCTGGTGGGTATTCTAGGGATGTGAAATACAAATATCGATAGTTTTAATTAAGTTTTAATAAAAATTTAAAAAAGTAACAAACAAAGATGTTTTAATAATTTAGTCTAAATATTTTACATATAAGACAAACGTGCATAAATACTTAAATAAGCTATATTTAAAGAAAACATATTATTTAATAACATTTAGTTACAATTTCAAATGTTTGTCACGAAAAACTGTTTAAATTAGCAATAAATCGTGTAGCAAATTAAATTATAATCAATTTGCAGTTTTGATTTTGTTTGTTTCTCTTGACGCCATGTCGACATGTGCGTTTCTTACGAATGCGAGGCAACACTGGCTGCACGAAGCTAGCGTGGGGTGCGGTACCAGGTGCGCAGGGTACAAGGTTCTTCGACCTGGTTTCGCATTGTGAAGACATTTTATTACTTCCGTGCGGTACCAGGTCTAAAAACCTGGTATTAAGGTAGGTACATCATTGGATTCTATTTTAAGAATACATCATAGATATATATTCATCACTTTCCTACTCCGGACCCAATTGAAGTTATGCCTTTCGCACGACAAGGAAGACTATAATTTTCTTAGCCGCACGGTAAGCGAGACGTACACAAGGTCTATAGACCTGGTTTCGCACTCAACGTGTTAATTCTATAACTTTTTCCACCAGGTTCTCCCAGTCTGGCAACCTGAACCGCCACATGAGAGTCCACGGCAACATGTCTAGCGGCGTGCTCGGCTGACAGTTGCCGCGGTGCGGCCTGCCCGCAGCCTTCATGTAGACCTTCAGGACCAGAAGAAAGAGAAAGATTGCGTGTCTGTCATCAATCGAGACAACGAGAGGACATGTTTTTGAATGCTAGATGTAGACCATTCGAGTGATGTGAACGGCTCTCGGCTGACAGTTTTGCAGCGGTGCGGCCTGCCCGCAGCCTTCATGTAGATCCGTCAGGGAACCAGCAGAATCCTACGAAAGACCGCGGATTGGGTAGATCCGTTCCCACCGCTGCAACTCATGTGCAGCCAGGATCTAAAGCTTGATAGCCAAAAGACCCAACCAGTAAAGGCCAAGTTTGCCCCATTAGTATCGAATCGTGAGAGGACATTTGTGTTAGGTACTAGATGTAGACCATTCAGAGGATCATCAGAAGCTTTCGAAATGTGAATCATGTGGAATCAATCGATACACTTATCGAGAGGGTATTTGTGTAATAATCAGATAATGTTACAGAAATGAAATGATTAGGGTGGCGGTCATTCATTATGTAGGTACATTAATGTCAATGACTTTGGCCGACACCAGTGAGAGGAGTCAGCGTATGTTGTACAAAACAGTAAAGTACTTACGCGACACTCGAAAGATATAAACCTATTAGCGTATGAAGAAAATAAATGTAAATAAAACATTGATATGTCTTAAATTGCTTGCGTCTAATACATACATACTTATTTACGACGACCTCTAAAAAAAGAGTGAGCACTTCACCTCATCACCATCAAACCAAAACAATGTTTTACTCAATTTTGTAATAAGTTTGTGAAACTTTAGAACATGTAAATAATTAGCTGTTGTATTGTAAATAATTATTACATCTAAGTAGTGAAATATCCAATTAACTATCACGAGTTGCGTTCATCTAGTCACTATAAAAATATTAGATTACTTTAAGCATCATTTGTAACATCAGTATTATTTAGCTTTAAATAATTGTACTTTAGTAGGTATGTTAAGCGAATAAAAAGTCCCTAAGATCTGGAATTGTTGCTTTGTTTCTCATTTTCATAACCTGTTCAAAAGTAAAGGTCCCTAGGTAGTTAAGCTACTTATAACAATGTGTTGTGTGACGTGTGATACTCGATTAGAATGCGAGCGCGCGACCGTACCAAACTTTTGTTATTGAATATAATTAGATTACCTTAGTTAGTGTTACCTTTTATCATTTAGCCAAAGTTAAGTAAATTGGTATCATTCAATTAATGATTTACTGAGTGATGAAGACAATGGGCACTCATTTTATTATTCTGTTAAAGCTTATTAAGAGACATTACACATTCACGAACACTTTTAATAATCCACCAAATATCAAATTAAAATTTGATTAAAAATAAATTTAAAAATAAAACAATCTGTAAAGTAATAAAAATAAAACAAACGTTTCACCACGGTAATACCGTAATACTATCATACACGTTCCCGCCAAGTAGTCCCGGGGCGGGAAGTTACCTTTTTGCAAGGCAGAAATCTGTGTTGCCAGAGGGAAACCTAATACTACCAAAACTACCAAAACAACATAAAAGATAGGTGAAAGTAATTCCCAAAAAATTATGTATCGTGAACGCTGCTTTAATATAAAAAAAAATGTAGATGCCAAATTTATAGATACTTTTGGATCAACACTTTATGAGTTGTTTAAAATACCGAGTTAATGTATTTTATTCAAAGTAAATACCTGATTAAAAATATCTAAATCTGCAATATTTGTAAAAACAATGTTAATTTTTTTTATTTGCAACTTACTTTCACAATTTGAAACCGTTTTTAAAACTATGTTTGAAACATTGCATTTAATTGTGAAGTGATGACCTCTTGAAAGATCTAAAATTACTTTTTTGACACATCATGATTTCTCTGTACCATTTTCATGTCGGAATTTTAGAAATTCACTAACAAAACACCTGAAACGGGTCAACCGGTGCGCAAAAGTCTAGATATTGTTAATACAGTTAATTACCTAGCCGTTGTCTGTCACTGACTCGCGAGACACGTAATATTTTCGCTCCGACTTTCGTAGAAAGTTGCCGCTTCTGTCGAATATCCATATTTAAGTCGGTGGAGAAGATTCTAACAGCGCTAAAATGACCGAAAGTTCTCCAGACGAGCCTAGCCGTAATAGGAAAGACTTCATCTGCGGCGTTGTCGAAGGTGGGCATTATTTTTAGATAGGGTTTAGTGTGTCTAGATTTTATACCTAGCTATGTAGGTAATGCCTAAGACATGTGAATGACCTAGGTTTGCTATTACAGGCTTTTACGGGCGGCCGTGGACCACGGAACAAAGGAAGGATCTGTTCCAAAAGTGAGTACATCCTAATGTTTTAATGTAATATTCTTATCATCTGTTTGATAACAATTATGTTGTTTTTTCTTATGACTTAGTTAAATAGTGGTAGATTATCATGGTGTAATAATTAGTGCACTTCCTGCATATAATTAATACAAGGATTATTCTTTAAAGGCATATTATCTCCAAATTGAGATAATTATACCAAAGCTTGATTCCAATTTGATGAATTGCAATTAGATTCCATCTTGATTCTTAAAATCTACAACTAGCCCAGTTACTAAAAATCAAGTAAATAGTAAATAGTAGCCCAGTTATAAAAAATAAAGTAATGACTAAAAATTTAACATGTAAAATTCATGTGAAATAATTTCGTTTGTAACTAAGGGTAGGGGTGACTGAACTATAAAACAAAGTAAATTTTCACACATTATATTTTATTGACATGCAATATTTAAAAGTTGATCGGTGCATGCAATGCAATTAGTTACATAAACACCAATAGGTAAGCTACAAATTAAAGATTATCTTCAATGCTCATTTACGAAATTATTATTAAAAATAGACAATTGAACTTGTGTATTGTATATTGTATTTATACTATCTAAATGACCATTACTTTCTTGAAATAAAAATTCCAGGTTGAAAAAATGGGGCATGGATATGTACGTCTACGCCCCAAAGGACGACTACAAGCACCGTGCCTACTGGCGAGAGCTGTACACCGTAGAGGAGGCCGAGCACCTGACGTCTCTGATATCAGCCGCCAAAGAACAGGGCATTATATTCTGCTACGCCTTGTCCCCGGGACTTGACATCACGTATAGCAGTCAGAAAGAGATTACCACCTTGAAACGGAAGTTAGAACAGGTATTAACTTGAAATTGAAGATATGTTAGAACTAATAAAAATTGATTGACATGATAGGCTTCATAATAATTTGACACCACCAGTAATGTTGTGATATAAATAGAAAAGGAATATAATCATAATTATTATGACAAACATTTTTAGGCTGAGTGGCACCACCTAACTTTGACCTTAACTTTAATGTTAACCGGTGTTTTTTGTATGGAGTTTGACAGATTTTTGACGTTTGTCAAAGTTAAAGTAAAATGGTACAACCCAGCCTAAGAGTTTAATGTCTGAAGATTCGTCCAAGGTCTGAAGTAATTCATATCTGAAGGTACCCAAATACGTTTAGATAATTCTTATTAGATTACAATTAACCCAATTAGTGGGTTCCTTTTTTTTATTATTTATTTACAATAATAAACGTTTGTAAAATGAAAAAAAAAAATTAACCCAAAACATTAAATAATCCCAAATTTCATTATTATAATGAAGTAGGTAGATAATTAAAATAAATGTTTTATTAAAATTCTCTGTTTTAGGTGTCACAATTTGGATGCACATGCTTCGCTCTTCTCTTCGATGACATTGAGCCGGAGATGAGTGAAGCAGACAAACAGATATTCCAGAGTTTCGCTCATGCACAAGTAAGTAACAATACTCTAATTTCAACTTTTGCCAATGAGGGCTATCGTTTTAACGCTCACCCGTTGGCGCCACTGTAGAGTAAGGTCCTGTCACTTGCTAGTAGCGAAGACAGTGGCGCCGACTGGTGAGCGCTAAAATGGTAGGAGGACTATCGCATTTGCACTCATCAAGATGGCGCCACTGTAGAGTAAGGTCCTGTCAATCGCCAGGGGTGCCAACTGTTAAGTATAAAAACGATAGCCCTCAACGCCTTTTCAAATAAAAGTTCCACAGGCATTGACAATTTTTTTGTTTTTTTTGTAGTCATTATCTTTCGTTTCAGCGGAATGACGTCCACTGCTGGACAAAAGCCTCACCAAAGAATTCCACAAAGACCAGTCCTGCGCCGTCCGCATCCAGGCACCTCCTGCCTTATAGTAGTCATTGTATTTTGTCTTTATTTTAAAGACTGCAAATCCTTAAGACGATTATCACACTGCACCGCGCTCCGCCGCGGTCCGCAGGACGACAGATTTGATCATTGTATGCATGTACCTCAGTTTGTATAGAAAACACGCGCGGCACAACACACTGACAACGCGTTTGCGCGCGGGATTTTTTATATGTAGCCACGCGGACCGCGGCGGAGCGCGGTGCAGTGTGATAATCGCTTAACTCATCTCATTTGGATACCATTATTTTTCCAGGTGTCCGTAACAAATGAAATCCACCAGCACCTCGGTTGTCCTCGATTCCTGCTGTGTCCGACCCAGTACTGCTCCACCCGAGCTGTGCCCACCGTGAACACTTCGGAATATCTCAACACGCTGGGCACGAAGTTGTCGCAGCAGATTGATATTATGTGGACTGGTATGTTATTGTGTGGAAGTTTTCTAATTAGCAGTGTGGCATTGAAAGAGTGTGTTAATGAGAATACAAGTGCTAATGAATGATTATAAGCTACTGTTATTAAAGTCAGAAGTAATAAAATTTCTTCAAATAGGCTTTTATAAAACACTTTTACAGGTCCCAGTATTATTAATAATGAATGATGACTTCAGTTTTTAAAACAATAGTTCATACAGGGCCAGAATAGCCCATCGGTGTCGGCATCGTAATTTGATTCGAGATTCTACAAACGTATTTCGATCCCTGTCGACTGCTGTTACAGATGTGAAAGTTGTAATTCTGAACATTATATTTGCTCCGGCGTTTTTTTATACTTATTTAGTTACTCCAGGAAAGTTACTTTGAACTTTATGACGATTTATCAAAATTGCTTCCTTCATAGAGGCTGGAAAATTTAAATATCTATTTAAGGAGTGGGGGCTTTTTGGCATAGTGTTGACCTACCGATTTTAATATTATGCTGCCAACACTGTTAAATATTGAATATTTGACTTACTTGACTTATGGTCCTATGGTACCTAGGCAGAGGGCGTCCACAAAAGTCCTCCATCTCGTTCGGTCTTGAGCTTCTCGCTTGATCTCGCTCCAGGTCTTGCCGATCTTCTTCGCCTCGTCCGCTACAGTGCGCCGCCAAGTTTGCCTGGGGCGACCACGTTTGCGTTTTCCTTGGAGATTACAATCCAGAGCCTGCTTAGGGATGTGATCGGATGTGTGAAATATTAAATACAGTGTTAATAAAAGTTTTTTCTGTTTCTATTATGTAGGTCCAAAAGTGATCTCCAAGACGTTGACCACGGAGTGCATTGAGGAGATCACGCAAGTGCTGCGTCGGCCGCCCGTCATATGGGACAACCTGCACGCGAACGACTACGACCAGAAGCGGATATTCCTGGGTGAGTGGGCACGTCAACCTTAACGGTATCTTATGTAGTTGTAATAGGGGCGATTTTGCGACAAAAATTATAGTCTAATGTGATGTCATCTGTACTAATAGGTATTTATGAAATGGGTATAAAAACAATCAAAACTTGATTCAATTTTTAAAGCATAAAGCTCTTTGATTTGAGAATTTCAATATTGTTGAGACCAAAGGATTTACTGAACGCTAGTTCTTTGCGATAACGAAATTGCAAAGGACCATTTCCAATCTTCCCAAGATGTCGTAACCGGCGACTATGGAACGCATGGGAACATCAGGCATTCGCTATCCATGTAGGCTATATTCTCCATTTGCCTCGATGGTAAATTAAAGAGGGTCGTGGTTCATTGAGCTTAATCACCTGATGACTATGATATTTTTTTAACTCTTATATCCGTATACCCAGCGGCAATCTGTAGGGAACTACAATAATCCACTCCTGTGTCCGTTTGCACTGTTCTTTGTCATGAGCAGGGTGGAGTCCAGTGACTCCGTTACCTTTAGTGGTCACATGGTTTCTCAACTGTCTTGGAATCTACTAAGGAGACGCCTGACACTACCTCTTTGGAGGCTGCTGAATAGGAAGCCTTCAATGGTCATGAGTTGTTGGACTGATGTGTTTGGATGATGATTATGATACAACATTTTATAAAAACTTAAACCTATTTGACAGGTCCATACTGCGGCCGATCCCCGGAACTGATCCCTCTTCTGCGTGGGGTGCTTACGAACCCCAATTGCGAGTACAACGCGAATATGATCCCCATTTGGACGCTCGCGCACTGGGCCAGTTGTAGCTTGGACGCTCCTGCACACAGTAAGTATGACAGTGAAACTTGTGATATACTGAATATAAAAGGTTGGCTTGGGTGGGGTGCTTACGAACCCCAACTGTGAATACAACGCGAATATGATCCCTATTTGGACGCTCGCGCACTGGGCCAGTGGTAGCCTGGACGCTCCTGCACATAGTAAGTAAACGTCACATACTGAACTTTTTTTGGCGCGGGGTGCTCATGAACCCCAGCTGCGAATACAACGCTAAATAGACCACCAATTTGACGCACACGCATTGGGCCAGTTGTACATATGGTTCACAGATCCCATACTACGCGGGGTGCTCACAAACCACAACTGTATAATAATACTTAATTTTTTGCCCATAAACGCTCGCAGTGTTTTTTGCACTCAAAGTTTTTAAAATTTAAAGTAGAACAAATCTATGTAAATTGTTTTTATAAGTTCATGTGGTCATAGAGCAACACAACTAATGCGGGGTGCTCACACACGTGGGGTGTGTCTATGTACGATTTTTTATACTATCAAAAACAATAACTTTATTATATTTTCTATTTTTGCTTTAATAAATTATCCTGTTTTCAGTGGAAGCAGTGTCATGGGACATAAAACTGGAGCGGGAAGGCGAGCAAGGTGTTTGTGAAGACGAAGCCCCATTGCCTCTGGGGAAACATGTGTACCACCATCGACAAGCGTTGAGGTAAAACTATATTGGAGTATTGGCAGACACTAGGCTTGTTCAAAAAGTAATAAGACTGGGATATATCTAGCCTTCACAAAAATCTGAAAATAATTAGATAGGTAGCTTAATTCCTAACTAGAAACTGGTAAAAAGTAATTTAAGTTCACCATTGCGTTTAAGAATTACATTCACCTGAACGCGACCAGTCGGATGAAATATCCCATTCTCATTACTTTTTGAACACCCCTCTTATATTGTAGCATTAGCAAATAGAAGCAAACCTTATCGATTGTATTATTGGTAACTGAAAACCATACAACAGGAAGATGGGAGAAATATTTTCTTTGTGTATGTATTTTTTTTTCTATTTCTAGGGAAGCAATCAACGAGTGGTTGCCAGAGTTTGCAATACCTAAAACAGCGCAAGGCCCTGTCATCAAACCACAGCCACCGGTCACAGGTAAAACAAAATTTTCAAGGCCAATTTGAGGGTACTTATCATGGTCAGAGATTGAAGTATTTTTAATAAAGAATTATGCGTTTCAATGCGACATTTTCATATACTTCATATGTGCCAAAACGTCACGTTCTAGGTACTCATGTACAGTCACGGAATGAAAAGGTTCGTCAGTTTTCAAATTGATTCCTTCAACGAATCGCGAGCACTATTTCCTTTTGAAACTATGTTACAGAATAATCTCGAGTTAGAGAAAATAATCTTTAACTGTTCGTCAGTAAAGTTCAAAATTATTCAGATCAAAGTTGTTTGACTATTTATCTTGTCAAGAAGATTATTGATTGATAAACTAAAACCTTCTTGTTGGTTCAACCTGCCATTATTATTTCTATTAAATAAAAAAAAACTATTGTCAATATTGGTCAATGTCATCATTGCATTGCACTGATGGGATAGAAAAATAAACAAGCAAAACCTTGTTCGTTAGCAAAACGTCATATTTATTTAAATGTTAGCAGCACTGTTTCTTGCACTGTTATGTTGGCAGGTTTGACTCTTACAGTAACCTAGTGCAAGCGAAAACCGACACTAAAGTGACGAACCTTTTCATTCCGCGACTGTACTACATAAAAATGTCGCGTTGTGACCCATGATTCTCTATTACCTACAGGATGTCCCAAAAACAATGGATAACCCTGTAACCATCGATAGGCCTCGCCATGGTCTCCCTAACGTCCAATTTGACCCCAGTAAAAATATCGATGGTTATCCATTGTTTTTGGGACACCCTGTATATGACGTAAGTTTTTGCAACGCCTTCACTGGGCGTCACATGTACAATATTATGTTCTTGTCAACCCTTACCCATGTGACATGCAATAAAATAATTTGAATTTGACGTATTTGTTAAAATATTTTTTTTTTGTTACAGTACCACCAGTGCCAATCATCCCAATCCTCCCGTCAGTCAACACGTGCATGTCGCTCATGACAGCTACGAGCAATACGTCCACCACGAGCACAGCTGACATGACCCCCGCCATCCCCTGTGTCAACACAAGTCAGCTTCAAGCATTGGCAGACGTGTGTTCCGCGAGCAACGACCGGCCTCTACTGGCTACTGGAGTGAGTATAGCACAGGTCCTTAGAGCATAGCACAGGTCCATAGAGCATAGTATAGGTCCCTAGACCACAGCACAGCTGACATGACCCCCGCCATCCCCTGTGTCAACACAAGTCAGCTTCAAGCGTTGGCAGACGTGTGTTCTGCGAGCAACGACCGGCCTCTACTGGCTACTGGCGTGAGTATAGCACAGGTCCTTAGAGCATAGCACAGGTCCATAGAGCATAGTATAGGTCCCTAGACCACAGCACAGCTGACATGACCCCCGCCATTCCCTGTGTCAACACAAGTCAGCTTCAAGCATTGGCAGACGTGTGTTCCGCGAGCAACGATCGGCCTTTACTGGCTACTGGAGTGAGTATAGCTTAGCACAGCACAGGTCCTTAGGTAGGGTACAGCATAGGTCCCTTAAATAGTAAGGCAATAAATCAGAATTGTTCTCTATACAAGAACAGACCTGTGAGAAACAATTGCCTTATTTTTTGTTACCAAAAATTATTATAGAGATGACAGATCATAATCTACAGATAAACTCTAATTCCAATCGAAATAATTTATGTTCTTTCTGCTTTCCGAAATGAAATTACAACATATATTCCTCTTACAGATATCACCAAACGAAACCTTCAACCCGGTAGCGAATCCAGTGATGAACTCCCTCGTATCACCAACCAAAGTCATCCTTAACGAGTCTATTCCAAACCCCATCATACCCATAGCCAGCTCCAACATATCTTTACCCTCAGAAATACCTATATCCACCCTACCCGTGCCCATATTGGGCATCAAGGCACTCGAAGAAAACAACAAGTTGGATCAGTCTATGATAGAAAAGGCAGATGAGACGTTAAGTGGAGACAGTGTTTTGGAAAGTGCCAGTTTTATAGAAGATATGAAGAAGGATAAAGATGATGATACTGATAATATTATTGTGGATGATATGGAACCGTTGGTTGGGGAAACACAGAGGAATGGGGAGATGAGTCTTGGTGGTAAGTGGTTAAAAAATTACTTATTATTGTTTCAAATTAAGCAATTTGGTAGTTAATACAACTTCTTTAAAATAACATTTCATTCTAGCTCTAAAGATCGGGTCAATGTTCAATTGGTTGTAGAATTAGATTTTCAGTAGTTCTGAAATCAACAAATTGTCAGTCAATTAAGCGAAATAGTCGTCGTAATGTGTACAGTTGAGTTTTGACAGCTCATCATCAGGTCATTTAATTTCAAAGAGGAGGACGGTCTACTAATTTTCTAGAAGCAAATACATAGTATTAACGAATCCTAGATGTCGCCTTTTGACAGATACGTTACAAAATAAATTGCTGTTCTTTGACCGTTCTATCAGTTGTCCAGTCAGAATAGTTATTGGAGAAGTTTTTTTTCATACAATAGATTGCAAAACAACACCTTTAATTGTCTATTGTTAACTAATTGATTGAATCAGAAATGAGGAGATCCTTAGGAGAACCAGAGTAACTGACATAGCCCGCAGAATCGCTAAAATCAAGTGGCAGTGGGCGGGGCACATAGCTCGAAGAGCTGATGGCCGCTGGGGCAGGAAAGTTCTTGAGTGGCGACCACGAGCTGGAAGACGTAGCGTGGGCAGGCCTCCCACTAGGTGGACCGACGATCTGGTGAAGGTCGCGGGAGGTACCTGGATGCAAGCGGCGCAGGACCGCTCTTTGTGGAAATCCTTGGGGGAGGCTTTTGTCCAGCAGTGGACGTCTTTCGGCTGAAACGAACGAACGAACTAATTGACATGATCTTTCGCAGACACCCCACAAACGCTCAGTCCCAGCCGTGGGTCGCTGTTCGCGCCAGAACCAGAGGCAGGAATCATGGAACCGGCGGCGACTGAAGGCGACGTCTGCATGAACGATGGAATGAGCGAGGTTTGTATAGTCAAACGATTCTGACAGCGTTGAATAGAGCTCTGTAATGAGGGCTATCGTTTTTATACTTAACAGTGTGCACCCCTGGCGATTGACAGGACCTTACTCTACAGTGGCGCCATCTTGATGAGTGCAAATGCGATAGTCCTCCTACCATTTTAGCGCTCACAAGTTGGCGCCACTGTCTTCGCTACTAGCAAGTGACAGGACCTTACTCTACAGTGGCGCCAACTGGTGAGCGCTAAAACGATAGCCCTCATTGGTTCGTGTGTATGATAGGTAGCAACCGCAGCCCGCCTTCCCTGTCATGCAGATGCGCCAGTGAGGTATAACAGCCTACTTGCAAAATAAATGACTTTCAATTTGAGTAGTGAATGAATGAATGAGATTAGCATTTAGTGAATGAATGAACAATGGCTTGAAGTTAATATTTAGTGAATAAGTGAACGATGTAATGAATGAGGTTGGGAAGCGGTGAACGAATGAACGAAGGTGAATAAATAAAACAAGACGTTTTATGCTTACGTCTCTATAATTCTCACGCTTATTTATCCTCACACGACAGTCGATAATAATTCATTTTATTTTTAATTTTTTTTGCAGAACGGTTCAATGCAAGTGGAGCCAAGCAATAGTCCGCTAAGTACGGATATGATGGTAGAAATGACGGAACCAGTGGAGCCTGTGGATGAGTGAGTAAAAACATGGTGTTAACCCTTCAATTCGGTGGTGTAGTGTCGGCCGTTTGGTGTAGTGGTTCAGAACGGACTACTATGCCGAGAGGTCCCGGGTTCGATTCCCGGCCGGGCAGAAATTGAAATGATGAATTTTAATTTCTGTGACGGGTCTGGGTGTTTTCTATGTATAATATGTATTTACAAAAAAAAAAGTATATAAGTATGTTTATCCCGTCGTCTAGTACCCATAGNTGTGACGGGTCTGGGTGTTTTCTATGTATAATATGTATTTACAAAAAAAAAAGTATATAAGTATGTTTATCCCGTCGTCTAGTACCCATAGTACAAGCTTTGCTTAGTTTGGGACTAGAGGCGCAGTGTAAAATGTCCAAGGATATTTATTTATTACTAGCTTTCCGCCCGCGGCTTCGCCCGCGTGGAATTTTGTCTGTCACAGAAAAACTTTATCGCGCGCGTCCCTGTTTCAAAAACCGGGATAAAAACTATCCTATGTTCTTTCCCGGGACTCAAACTATCTCTATGCCAAATTTCATCAAAATCGGTTGCGAGGTTTAAGCGGGAAAGCGTAACAGACAGACAGACAGACAGACAGACAGACAGACAGACAGACAGAGTTACTTTCGCATTTATAATATTAGTTGGGATTATTATTATTTAATTTTTCATGGTTTTTGGACCTTAACTCAAGACAATAAAGTTTAAAATAGTCTGATATAATATGTCAATGTTGTTGACGCACATTGTTCTTACTTGTCATTTTTTTTCCTACAGAACGCTAGAAGAACCAACAGTTGACGAGAATGCGCTCATAGCGGACGACTTACTGCTGCTGTGCGATCTCTTCTACCTACCCTTTGAACACGGTTCCCGTGGGTTGCGGTTGCTGCACGACTTCAACTGGTTGACAACGCATGCGGCGAGTATGCAACCAAGAGGGAATAAACCTGAGGTGAGAATCATCATCATTTTCAGCCATAGGACGTCCACTGCTGAACATAGGCCTCCCCCAATGATTTCCACAATGGCCGATGTGTGGCGGCCTGCATCCAGCGCCTTTAAGCTACCTTTATGAGGTCGTCGGTCCACCTTGTGGACGTCCTACGCTGCGCGGAGGTGAGGACAGCTATTGGATTCTTTTTTACAGCATTTGGTTGTTACAAGACTTCAACTGGTTGACGACGCATGCGGCGAATATGCAACCAAGGGGGAATAAACCTGAGGTGAGGATAGGTTTTGGATTCTCTATTTTTTTGGGCATACTTACGTCTTGTTTATTGGTAATTAATTAGTAATTATTGTACACACTCCGCGAAAACTAGATACTATCTGTAATGAAAAGTGAGCTTCATCATCATCTTTTTCAGCCATAGGACGTCCACTGCTGAACATAGGCCTCCCCCAATGATTTCCACAATGGCCGGTTGGTGGCGGCCTGCATCCAGCGCCTTTAAGCTACCTTTATGAGGTCGTCGGTCCACCTTGTGGACGTCATACGCTGCGCAGAGGTGAGGACAGCTTTTGGATTCTTTTTTACAGCATTTAGTTGTTACGTGACTTCAACTGGTTGACTACCCACGCGGCGAGTATGCAACCAAGAGGGAATAAACCTGAGGTGAGGACAGTCTGGAACTATTTTACAGCTTTGTGAAAAGCTATTAGTGTTACTACAACATTGATTGAAAATAATATGCATTCTTAATTATTGTGTGGGCACTGAATAAGCCTTTAACTCAATTTTTGGAACATTATTTGCAAGGACAGCGCACATACCTAATGGATAACAGTAAGTTTGAGTTGAGTTGCATAAGAACGTTTGAACAATTTTCACACACTATAAATGGTATTTACTAATGCTCTTCCAATGCTATGAAAGGTCATTCACATCAAAGTAAAAAGTGTCAGGGCTAGTGTTGATAAGCCGGGTCCGACGAAACGCCGGACCGGGTGGAAACCGGCTCCAAGATCGGATCGGATCGACAAGCCGACTTCCATAAAAACAATGTTAACATCATTGTTCTGTTCCGGCATCAGTAAGATAGCCAGTTCCTCTGTGGTTGAGGATTCCGAGTGGAGTTGGATTCCGCTTTTGGTTTTATCATCACTTTCCATCAGGACAAAAAACGTGACGTGTTAACCATGTAAATAAATATTGTTCTAATTTGAAAGGCGCCTTAGGCAGTTAAATTTTTTCAAGTTATTTATAATTTTCAAATAGGGATGTTACGGATATGTAGTTTCGGTTATGGATACGGTTACGGATATAGGAATAATATTATACCGGTTTCGGTTGTCTAACGCGGTTAATTCATGGCCGCACAATTTACATCGAATAAAAAAAAGTACTAGATTAAAAATTATATTATAAAGGTAAATCAGGCTGTTATGCCTTTACATATAATGCAGATACAAAAAACAATTTAAACTGCCTACATCCGAAACTATCCGAAACTTTTGAATCGGTTACGGTTTCGGATATTTTTTTATTTCGGATATCCGAAAGTTTCGGTTACGGTTACGGATATCCATAACATCCCTGTTTTCAAAGTAGTTTAAGATGCGAAGTTAAAAATTAAATAAGTAAATATTGTTCCAGACTAGTGAATGGCGCCGCCGCCGCAGTCGTTTCGCGTGGTGGGTGCAGCGGACTAGGCGATTGTCGCGGCGTCTAGCGTTCTCAGCCAATAGAGAGTTGTATGCGGAACTGCATCCTTATGTGTGGGACCTGTGCGGAGTCCTAGCGCTTTTGGACGGCTTCGTTGGGTGGCTGGGTAAGTGTTACATTGTTAAGGATATCCTAGGGGACACCTTTGTCTAGCTGTGGACGTCCTTTCGCTGAAAATACTGTTATAGTCCAAAGATTTTGAAATGTCTAGTGGCAAAAATCAAAAACTAACAACCCAGCATTGATAGTAGCCCCCTCCTGCTAATGTCACAATTGTATTGTTGTCCAACGTGGCAATAATCGGAACTAATGATCCAGCATTGATAGTGGCGCCCTCCTGACAATGTCAGAAGGGACGGTTCAATATAAGTCATCTATACATCGAAGAAAAAGATTCGCATCGTTTCTATGAGCTGTGTTCCGCCAAAGCGGAGAGACAAGCGGCATAGCGGAGAGGTTATTGTCACTATAGCGGAGCGGAGACGGGCGGAGATAAGTGTCTTATCGTACAAAGAGGATGTTAGTGTACTTTTTTGTATTCGCGTGGTGGGTGCAGCGGACTAGGCGATTATCGCGGCGTCTAGCGTTCTCAGCTAATAGAGAGTTGTACGCGGAACTCCACCCTTATGTATGGGACCTGTGCGGAGTCCTAGCGCTTTTGGACGGCTTCGTTGGGTGGCTGGGTAAGTGTTACTACTGCTATATTGGTGGAAACTGTAACTGTAACATTGGGGGAGACTGATACATTGGGGGTGGCAGTTACATTGAAGCAAAAGGATCGCTTCATTTATAAGAGTCGTAGTCCTGCAAAGGGGGGAAGAAGCGGACAGGTTATTGTCACTATAGCGGAGCGGAGACGGGAGGAGATGAGTGTCTTAACGTACAAAGAGGATATTAGTGTACTTTTTTGTATTCGCGTGGTGGGTGCAGCGGACTAGGCGGTTGTCGCGGCGTCTAGCGTTCTCGGCTAATAGAGAGTTGTACGCGGAACTGCATCCTTATGTCTGGGACCTTTGTGGAGTCCTAGCGCTGTTGGACGGCTCGTTGGGCGGCTGGGTAAGTGTTACTAATTGTTATAATGGGGGAAACTGTAACATTGGGGGCGACTGATACATTGGGGGTGGCAGTTACATTGAAGCAAAAGGATCGCTTCCTTTCTAAGAACGGTAGTCCTGCAAAGGGTGGAAGAAGCGGACAGGTTATTGTCACTATGGCGGAGCGGAGATGTGCGGATTCGAGCATCATAGTGTGTAAAGACGTGAGAGTGTTTACTTTTTGTATTCGCGTGGTGGGTGCAGCGGACTAGGCGATTGTCGCGGCGTTTAGCGTTCTTGGCTAATAGAGAGTTGTACGCTGAACTGCATCCTTATGTCTGGGACTTGTGCGGAGTCCTAGCGCTTTTGGACGGCTTCGTCGGGTGGCTGGGTAAGTGTTACTACTGCTATATTGGGGGAAACTGTAACTGTAACATTGGGGGAGACTGATACATTGAGGGAGACCGTTACATTGGGGGAGACTGTTACATTGAAGCAGAAGGATCGCTTCCTTTATAAGAGTCGTAGTCCTGCAAAGGGGGGAAGAAGCGGACAGGTTATTGTCACTGCAGTGGAGCTTATATGTGCGGACACGAGGATCATAGCGTGTAAAGAGGTGAGAGTGTTTACTTTTTGTATTCGCGTGGTGGGTGCAGCGGACTAGGCGATTGTCGCGGCGTCTAGCGTTCTCGGCCAATAGAGAGTTGTACGCGGAACTGCATCCTTATGTATGGGACCTGTGCGGAGTCCTAGCGCTTTTGGACGGCTTCGTTGGGTGGCTGGGTAAGTGTTACTACTGCTATATTGGGGGAAACTGTAACTGTAACATTGGGGGAGACTGATACATTGAGAAAGACCGTTATATTGGGGGAGACTGTTACATAGGGGGTGGCAGTTACATTGAAGCAGAAGGATCGCATCCTTTCTAAGAACGGTAGTCCTGCAAAGGAGGGAAGAAGCGGACAGGTTATTGTTACTATAGCGGAGCGGAGACGGGCGGAGATAAGTGTCTGAGTGTCTTAACGTACAGTCACGGAATGAAAAGGTTCGTCAGTTTTCAAATCGATTCCTTCAACGAATCGCGAGCACATATTACCTTTTGAAACTATGTTACAGAATAATCTCGAGTTAGAGAAAATAATCTTTAACTGTTCGTCAGTAAAGTTCAAAATTATTCAGATCAAAGTTGTTTGACGATTTATCTTGCCAAGAAGATTATTATGATTGATAAACTAAAACCTTCTTGTTGGTCCAACCTGCTATTATCTATATTATATAAAGCTCGATTACCACTGACTGACTGACTCACTCACTGATCAGGGGTATTTTTAGGGTATTTAGAGGGGAGAGGGGTAAAATTGTTAGTGTTTGTTTTTAACTAGATTTTTCGACTGCCAGCTTTACTAGATTTTTTTTACGAAAAAACAAAATGGCGGCATTTTTTGAGACACAAACTTTTCTGTCTTTGGTCCTGATTTTTTTCTTTTTTGGTGGTTTGTTGGGGTTGCCAAGGTGTGTTAAAAAAATTGAGAAAAAATTAGAAAAACAAAATGGCCGCGCCGCCATCTTGGATTGAAAATGCGATTTCGGGGTGTTTTTGGGGAGGTGTAACTTTTTGATGCGCAATTGTTTTTTAAAATTTTCTTTTGAGTGTTTGTGACATGTATAGTCNCCATAGATTTATTTTTAATGCGTCAAAAAAGGACTAGAGCCCAGTGACAGATAGAAAGGCGAGGCCGAAGGCCGAGCGATGGTTCAAATCCCGACAGTCGCCATAGATTTACTTGTGTTGCGTCAAAAAAGCACAAGAGCACCGTGACAAACGAGAACGCCCCCCGTGTAATTTTTGCGAGGCCGAAGGCCGAGCTCCGAATGCGAGGCCGCAGGCCGAGCGCCGCGTAGGGCGAAGCCCGGAGCGGCCAGCATCGCAGATCTAGCTTTTGTAGCCCGCGTAGCGGGCGACCAAAGCTAGTTATTTCTTATAAAATAAAAAAAACTATTGTCAATCGGTCAATGTCATCATTGCATTGCACTGATGGGATAGAAAAATACAAGCAAAACCTTATTCGTTAGCAAACGTCATATTTATTTAAATGTTAGCAGCACTGTGTCTTGCACTGTTATGTTGGCAGGTTTGACCTAGTGCAAGCGAAAACCGACACTAAGGTGACGAACCTTTTCATTCCGCGACTGTACAAAGAGGATATTAGTGTACTTTTTTATACTCGCGTGGTGGGTGCAGCGGACTAGGCGTTTATCGCGGCGTCTAGCGTTCTCGGCCAATAGAGAGTTGTACGCGGAATTGCATCCTTATGTGTGGGACCTTTGTGGAGTCCTAGCGCTGTTGGACGGCTTCGTTGGGTGGCTGGGTAAGTGTTACATTGTTAAGGATATCCTAGGGGACACCTTTGTCTAGCAGTAGACGTCCCTTAACTGAAAAGATTGGCACATTGAAGCATAAGGTTTGCTTCCCTTTTTATGTTTATGAGGACCATTCTCTTCTAAAGTGTAGATGAAATGACATCTGTGAAGACAGTAATATTTGTGGTAGAAAGTGAACAAAAAAAAGAGCGAAACGATTTCGAAATTTAAGATGTCGCTGGTGTCATTTAATGTTTCTTAATTTTCAGAATAAATAACTTTTTAAACTAGTGTTCATTTTGTTTCAGAACTAGGCAAATTCCCTGCAAATGTAGCGACGAACATACAAGGCACCTATACATGTAAGTCATCGTTTATAAACTATTTAATTTGGGTGAAAGTAATAATGGTACCGCTTTAACTGTTCAACTAGTTAGTGCTTACATGTGTAACACTTAAAAGGCGTCTAACCGATAATTTTGGGAAGTCGGATGTCTTCGGGTAATTTCGAGTAGTGTAGCTGAGTTATAAGGCCTGGTTTCCACTAAGACGGAGCGGAGTGGAGCAGTGCGGAGAAGTGTCGAGCCGTCATATTTTTCTACAAAATTTGATAGCGGTTCGAAGCGGAGAAATGAAGTAAAACACTTGTCTGTTCCGTTCCGCCTTGGTGGAAACCGGGCCTTACGTTCAAAGCCTTTGTCGATGTCGCCTTAAGGCGCTACCTCGTAAAAGTTTTCGGCCGACTGAATGCCTCGCACACAGAGGGATAGAAATATGATTTCTCAGTGCGAGGAAAGGGACAGCAATAGCGCGCGCGGCGCGGAATAAAATAACGTAAGCGACAAAAATCGGAAATCATGTATTTATTGAAAAACCAAACACTATTTAAAGAAAATAACTCGACCAGTACTTAGAATATGTTATTACCTTACCAATATACAAAATTTGGTATTGAAATATTAGCCTATCTGCTTATAAAACAAAAAACCGAGTAATAGAAGGGTCATTTTTGGATTTTTTTTCTATCGAGAAAATTGTTTCCATTCATGTTTCGGCTTCGACCAGACACTAGATTTATTAGTCAACTATGACATATTTCAAAATAAGAACATAAGTAATAAGAAAAGTACGATTAAAACTAATTCTGCGCTTCTTTAAAACGCTCAATATTCGCAAGGCATCACCTTAACGTGTATGCGTTTTCAGGGTTCTCCAAAGGCTGGCGGGAGGCCTTCGAGAGCGGCGCACAGGAGCCGTGGGTGTTCCGCGGCGGGCTCGCGGCCGACCTGCGCCGCCTGCTGTGCGTGGACTGCGCCGCCGACGCGCTGCGGCCCGCGCCCCGCCCCGCGCCCCGCACGCGCGCGCCCCACGCGCCCCGCGTCTACCGCCCCGCCGACGAGCAGGCGGTGAGTGGTACAAGCTAGTGCAGACAACGACAAATAGATGGCGCTGACGCTGACGCGGGAGTTCTATGGCAGACACCGCCGCGTCTACCGCCCCGCTGACGAGGAAGCGGTGAGTGATACAAAGTAGTGTAGTTAGCAATCAACAGATGGCGCTGCGCAGGAGTTACTATGGCGCGGACCGCCGCGCGTACGATCCTGCATCGCGGTGACGAAGTTTTTTACCCCTCCAAGTATATATAGGAAAACGGAGATGGTGTCAATAGGACCCCCTATCCGTCCCCCGGACACGGCCTGAGCCGAGGTCCGAGCCTACCGTGGCGCCCTCAGGCCGCGTCCGTAGTCCCCTCGATCGGGCCCACTAGAGTGAGCCCGCCGTAGGCTGGACTTGGTCCAACACCGCGGTGGGCAACCCTCTAGTTGGGTCCGCCACTGATCGGGCGCCTTATGCGCTCGATACGGCCCGATCGCGAACGTCGGTCTGCGACCTACGCGGACGAGCCTGGGCTTCGCTTCGCGAAGCCCACACTCGGCCTCGTCGGCACGCGCACCGACGATCGCCAAACGGCTAGAGTACCTTCTGTACTCGCCACTCTGCCCGGTGAAGCTGGAAAAGCTCTTCAAGCTACCAGCGCGCGTACCTTCAAAAAAAAAAAAAAAGTCAATAGGACCTGGTTCCCGAACGCGACGCCCGCTCGGAAGTAAGCACGACACCTTAGGCTTCCTTGTTGTGGTTGAATATCAAAATGTCATTTTCTTACTTATTTCTATCTGCCATCAACATGCGGTAAATAAGATCAAGTAATCCCCCAATGCCTGATCCTTTGGGTCTGATACCGGATCCCTGAGAGTCCCTGTTCCCGCCCCGCGCCCCGCCCATACCGCCCCGCTGACGAGCAAGCGGTGAGTGATACAAGCTAGTGCAGACGTCGACCAATAGATGGCGCTGACGCGGGAGTTCTAAAGCGCGGACCGCCGCGCCTACGATCCTGCACATAATACGCTTTTGTTCTTAAATACGAAGCTGAATCACTTCCTATTTCAATGCTCAAGAGAGTTTTACACATAGGAGTAACCTGTGGGCGTGGTTAGGCAGTTGCCCCTTCCCCCGAAGGAAATATAATATGCCCCAATATACCTTATCATACATACACCGTACCTTATTGTTCTTAAGTATCCTAGTACCCCACCATAACTGAAATCTTAAGAGGGATGACAACATTCGAAACCCGCTGATGTGAGAATGCAATTTTCATTAGTGTTCTTTTTTTCAGGTATGCGTAATCTGCCACAAGACGTGTCGCGATGGATCCGACTGCAGCGACCTCTTCCCAAGCGATCTGCAAACGTTGCCAGCAGATAGGTAAGATAAGATAGAAAAATACACTCACACTAATCATTTTTGACCCTTTTTAGAAATATCAGAAAAACACATCCTTGCAACCTCACGTTAAAATATCACGCAGCGTTCAATATTGGTTAGGAACACGCATACGCAACGGGAAGTAGTCTGAGCATTGTTTTTTTAACATAATAAATGTAACTAATAACGAAAGATTACTCAATAATATTGAATCATCATCATCATCATCAACAGCCCTTTACAGTCCACTGCTGGACTATGAGCCTCCTCCACTAGAGTGGAGGGTTTTGCCATAATCCCAACGCTTGGCAGGCGGGTAGAAGATCGCAGTTTAAAAGATTGATGTCTTTCAGAGAGCGCTGCTGCCCGTTCTCTGTTTGATGTGTAGTCCCTAAGTCGCCTCTTACGACACTCGCGGGAAGAGTAGGGGTTGGTGACAAATGTATTCTACTCTGCCGTCACCACACGGCACTATTGAGTATTATACTGTTAACAGCCTCAATGATTACCAGTGTTGTGACCAGTTAGGTTTCCTATAGGCCAAAAGAGCCCATTGCATAAAAATATACCATCGTTCGCAGGCTAGTAGCACCGTTCCTGACTCTCACACCAGAGCTGTGTATGGTGATAGAAGACGACGAGGATTGTCTGCATCCAGACATTGAGGCGTTGGATGGGGAGTGCGACGATTCTGGGGAGAAGATAGTCACCGAGCAGAGGATAAACGGTGAGTTTGATAACGATTTTGTATGTTTATCGTACGTAGCGTGGGCAGGCCTCCTACTAGGTGGACCGACGATCTGGTGAAGGTCACAGGAAGAGCCTGAATGCGGGCAGCGCAGGACCGTTCATTGTGGAAAACCTTGGAGGAGGCCTTTGTCCAGCAGTGGACGTCATTCGGCTGAAACGAACGAACGAACGATGTTTATCACTGTCACGCAAAGCTAGGTGCCAGTATGTGCGACAGTGATAGACTCGAAAAAAGTCACTATAATTAGTTGTCACTGCCTGCATCCAGACATTGAGGCATTGGATGGGGAATGCGACGATTCTGGGGAGAAGATAGTTAGCGAGCAGAGGATAAACGGTGAGCTTAATAATGAATCTGTTATGTGTATTGAGCCTTTAGGGATTTCTATCATGATTCTATCATGTGGTACATGTGTGACTTTTGACATGTGTGATGATTTAAAGGAAAAATATAGGAGCATAAGGCCTCCTTAATCCGTGGGGAGTGTACCCAAAATCCTCTCTTCTGTTCTTGTACGACGACCCGCTCGGTCGTCCTGCAGTGTAGACTAAATGATCTGACGACGATGATGTCATAACTATAGTCACACGATTCTGAAACTTCAAGTGGCAAATATCGAAAGCAAAAACAATAACCCAGTATTGATAGCAGCGCCCTCCTATAAATGTTAATGGGCCGATTCATAGTTGGACATCCCGTCCCATCCCGAGAATCCCGTCCAATGACCCCAAGCTACCCATCCCTATCGCTCGCGCGTAATTATATTGCTGTCGCGACTGTGCGACGCGCGCCCGCAGTGAGTGTGCGAGCGCGACAGCAACATAATTACGCGCGAGCGATAGGGATGGGTAGCTTGGGGTCATTGGACGGGATTCTACGTGCTCACGGACCAGGCTTTAAAATTGTGTTACATTTTGATTTCAGGTGCGAAGCCCGAGATCGTAGGCTATGCGTGTGCAGCGCTGAACAGCAAAGAGTTCTACAAGCGGCAGGAGATCGCCTGGATTCCTGAAATGTGCGCCAAGTACCCGCAGTCGCTTGTGGATAGAGACGACCTCAGCCCTGCTGCTAAGGTAATTCAAAATATTTATTTGTAAGTAAGTCCTTTTCAGGTCCCATATACATATCCCAAATATTGCTTGTCAAATATTCGTTTGATTTTATACAAAAGTCTATTGCTGGACAAAGATCTTCCCCAAGGATTTCCACTTCGAATAGTCTTGCGCTGTCTATATTCAGGTGCTGCCCGTGACTGTCATAATAATATGGTCGTCGGGCAACCGAGCCTGATAATCTGCCTATCTTATTACGCGTTCCCAGAAAGTTTCTGTTACAACTGTCATCATCAATTTGGCAATTTGCAAGCTATGTCGATTACTTTAGTTCTCCTATAGATCTCATTTTCTGTTCGCTTGCGAGAGAAAACATATCATAGCATGTTCCTAACTGCTGCCTTACTTATTTAGTCTTATGTTTCATCTTACTGCAGTTCTATTAATAGTCTTAAGCTAGGTTTAGACTAGTTGTTTATCGCAAGCCGTTTACCATTGATTTACATTGGCAAGCCAACTTCCGCAAGATTTACACAGTTTTATTGCTAGTCTAAACCTCGTATTCTTCTTGTCGTGTCGACAACAAACTTACACAGTGTCAGCCCAAAACTCCGCCACAAGAGTGGCGTTGTCAGTTAACCTCGTTTTAAACCCACGTTTGTTCCAGGACTGCGTGCGTCACTTCCACCAGTTCGCGTCGTTAGAGCGCGCGCCCGACAGCGTGACGCGCGCGCACCCCGCGCTGCTGACGTGCTGCGTGCTGCCGCCGCCCGCCTGCCGCGACGCGCACGCGCCCGCGAGGCTATTGACTTGCCTACTGGCTGCTTTGAGAGCCCATGGTGAGTGCAGAATGTATTGTTAAAGAAGACTGCTACGACGTTTGTGACTGCTACGACGTTTGTGGCTGCTACGAAGCTGGACACTGCTACGACCCACACACGCCCGCTCTATAGGCCTACGGTAAGTAGATGATGTCTGCTACGACTTTTGTGATTGCTACGAAGCTAGTCACTGCTACTACGCGCCCGCGCGCCTGCTGACGTGCTACTACGACGTCTGTGACTGCTACGGAGTAAGCTACTGCTACATACTAAGTCTAGAAATGCTACGGAGTTTCTCACTGCTACGATTCCGGTCACCGCTACGAAGCTCTCGCACTTTTGACGTGCTGCTACTGTGTCTGTGACTGCTACGAAGCCGGTCACTATAGCACGCCCGCCAGCGTGACGCGCGCGCACCCCGCGCTGCTGACGTGCTGCGTGCTGCCGCCGCCCGCCTGCCGCGACGCGCACGCGCCCGCGAGGCTGCTGACGTGTCTACTGGCCGCGCTTCGGGCCCACGGTGAGTGCTACGACGTCTGAGACTGCTACGAAGCCGGCCACTGCTACGAAACACCCGCGCGCCTGCTTACATGTCTGCTAGCAACGCTGCGGGCCCACGGTAAGTTAACTTCTTGCTACGCCGTCTGTGAGTGCTACGAAGCAAAGCGATTCTCGCTACGACGTCTGTAACTGCTACGAAGCCGGACACTATAATGCGCGCCTGACATCGTGCTGCTACGCTGACCGTGACCTGCTGCGTGCTGCTACGACGTCTGTCACTGCTACGAACGCTGTCACTGCTACGCAGCCGGTCCCTGCTACGAAGCTCTCGTGCTACTGAGGTGCTACTACGGTGTCTGTAACTGCTACGGAGCAGGACACTGCTACGAAGCCAGTCACTTATAAGCGGTGAGTGCTACGCCGTCTGGGACTGCTACGAAGCCAGTCACTGCTACGACCCGCACATTCTTTCACTAAGGGCCACGGTAAGTAGAAGATGTCTGCTACGACGTTTGTGACTGCTACGGAGCAGGACACTGCTACGAACCCAGTCACTGTTATAAGCGGGTCGCTGCTATGAAGCCGGTCACTATAGCGCGCCCGCCAGCGTGACGCGCGCGCACCCCGCGCTGCTGACGTGCTGCGTGCTGCCGCCGCCCGCCTGCCGCGACGCGCACGCGCCCGCGAGGCTACTGACTTGCCTACTAGCTGCTTTGAGGGCCCATGGTGAGTGAATTAGTCGAAGATTTCTTTCCACAGCGCGCTACGACGTTTAGAAGTGCTACGGAGTTTCTTACTGCTCGATGCTGGTCACTGCTACGACCCACACGCGCCCGCGGGGTCCACAGTAAGTAGAGGATGTCTGCTACGACGTTTGTGATTGCTACGAAGCCGGCCACTGTTACGACACGCACGCGCCTTCTCGTGTCTATTGGCTGCGTTGCGGGCACAGGCCTACTTCTTTCTTACTACGACGTCTGAGACTGCTACGAAGCCAGGCACTGCTACGACCCGCACCATTCCCACGGTAAGTCGAGAATGTCTTAGCTACGACATCTGTGGCTGCTACGGAGTAAACCAGTGCTACGAAGGCTATCACTGCTACGACCCGCACATTCATACACTAGCTGCTTTGAGGGCCCACGGTGAGTCGAAGACTCAGAGATTTGTTTCCACAGCGTGCTACGAAGCTAGTCATTGCTATGAATCCGGTCACTATAGCGCGCCCGCCAGCGTGACGCGCGCGCACCCCGCGCTGCTGACGTGCTGCGTGCTGCCGCCGCCCGCCTGCCGCGACGCGCACGCGCCCGCGAGGCTGTTGACTTGTCTACTAGCCGCACTACGGGCCCATGGTGAGTGCTACGAAGCCGGACACTATAATGCGCGCCTGACAGCGTGCTGCTACGCTGACCGTGACCTGCTGTGTGCTGCTACGACGTCTCTGCTACGAACGCTGTCACTGCTATGAAACTCGGCCTACTGAGGTGCTACTGTGGTGTCTGTGAATGCTACGGAGCAAGACACTGCTACGGAGTCAGTCACTTATAAGCGGGTCGCTGCTGAGTAGACTTCTTGCTACGACGTTTGGGAGTGCTACGAAGCCGGTCACTGCTACGACCCGCACGCGCCTTCTCGTGTCTATTGGCTGCGTTGCGAGTAAACGCCTACTTCTTTCTAACTGACGTCGACGACGTCTGAGACTGCTACGAAGCCAGTCACTGCTACGACCCGCACATTCTTACACTAAGGGCCACGGTAAGTAGAGAATGTCTGCTACGACGTTTGTGACTGCTACGGAGTAAGACACTGATACGAAGCCAGTCACTTATAAGCGGGTCGCTGCTATGAAGCCGGCCACTATAGCGCGCCCGACAGCGCGACGCACGCGTACGCGGGCCCACGGTGAGTGCTACAAAGCAAAGCGATTTTCGCTACGACGTCTGTAACTACTACGAAGCCGGACACTATAATGCGCGCCTGACAGCGTGCTGCTACGCTGACCGTGACCTGCTGCGTGCTGCTACGACGTCTGTGACTGCTACGAAGGCTGTCACTGCTACGAAACTCGGCCTACTGAGGTGCTACTACGGTGTCTGTGACTGCTACGGAGCAGGACACTGCTACGAAGCCAGTCACCTATAAGCGGGTCGCTGCTATGAAGCCGGTCACTATAGCGCGCCCGACAGCGTGACGCGCGCGCACCCCGCGCTGCTGACGTGCTGCGTGCTGCCGCCGCCCGCCTGCCGCGACGCGCACGCGCCCGCGAGGCTCTTGACTTGTCTATTGGCTGCATTAAGAGCCCACGGTGAGTTTAGGAGTCGAGGATTAGTTTCCATAGCGTGCTACGACGTCTGAGACTGCTACGAAGCTGGACACTGCTACGCCTGCTCACGCGTCTCCTAACAGCGCTACGGGCCCACGGTAAGTTAACTTCTTGCTACGCCGTCTGTGACTGCTACGATGCCGGTCACTGCTACGACCCACACGCGCCTTCTCGTGTCTTTTGGCTGCGTTGCGAGCAAACGCCTACTTCTTTCTTACTACGACGTTTGAGACTGCTACAAAGTCGGCCACTGCTACGAAACACCCGCGCGCCTGCTTACATGTCTGTTAGCAACGCTGAGGGTCCACGGTAAGTTAACTTCTTGCTACGCCGTCTGTGACTGCTACGAAGCCAGTCACTGCCACAACTCGCACATTCTTACACTAAGGGCCACGGTAAGTAGAGAATGTCTGCTACGACGTTAGTGACTGGTACGGAGCAGGACACTGCTACGAAGCCAGTCACTTATAAACGGGTCGCTGCTATGAAGCCGGTAACTATTGCGCGCGCCCGACGTGCTTACTGGCAGCTTTGCGGGCCCACGGTTAGTTGAGGGCCTTGACTTAAGATCTACTTCTTTCTTACTACGGCGTCTGGGATTGCTACGAAGCCAGTCATTGCTACGACCCGCTCGCGGCTGTTGACGTGCCTACTAGCTGCTTTGAGAGCCCACGGTGAGTGCTACAACGTGTGAGACTGCTACGAAGCTACACACTGCTAGGAAGCTGGACACTGCTACGAGCCACACACGCCCGCGCTAATGGACGCTACGACACGGACGACATGGTCTGTGGCTGCTACGGAGTAAACCACTGCTACGAAGGCTGTCATTGCTACGCAGCTGGTCACTGCTACGAAATCATCCCTGCTCCGTTTAAAAAGCTGCGAAAACTTAATTAAGGCGTACCAGTTAACTGCGTTTACAACACCTACTTTTCACCGAATCGTCGTCCCCCGACGATGAGTATAGCCCCCCAGCTTTGTGCAACGCTCGATCAAATTAAAAACTAACTACAATCGTTCATTCTAGGCGCGTCCACCTAGTGGGGGGCTATACTTTTCTGCCCCAGTGGCCATCAGCTCTGAGCACCGCTTAATCAAATTAAAAACTAATCTAGTCGGCCGTTTGGTGTAGTGGTTCAGAACGGACTACTATGCCGAGAGGTCCCGGGTTCGATTCCCGGCCGGGCAGAAATTGAAATGATGAATTTTAATTTCTGTGACGGGTCTGGGTGTTGCTATGTATAATATGTATGTATTTAAAAAAAAAAGTATATAAGTAGTATATCCGTTAAGCTAACACCCATAACACAAGCATATTAATTGCTTACTTTGGGGCTAGATGGCGCTGTGTGAGATTGTCCAAAGATATAAAAAAAAAATCTTCTTTCCAGGTGCGACTGGAGTCCACGCGTGCATAAACGCGACCGACCACTACCTCCACCAGTTCTACAGCAAGCTCGGCTTCGTGGAAGCGCACCGCAGCGCCGGCGGCCGCGTGTACATGGCGCGCGCCTTCTAGCGGCGACGCAACGCGCCGCGTCGCAGCGCAACCGCACCCGCGCTCTTCGTGTCTACGAAGCCTGTCACCGCTACGGCTGTCCGGCGCAAGATACCGCGACCTAAGCTTTAATCTTGCTGTAAGTTAAAAAAAATCCAAAAAAATCCATGCCACTGCTACGAAGCAGGTCAGTGCTACGACGTAAGTCAATTTGCTGGCTACGACGGTCCGTGGTCCGTGACCATTCAAACTTTAATTAATCTCGCTGTAAATTATTCTTGCTGAGACGTCTACCACTGCTACGAAGCCGGTCGCTGTTACGGTGGTCGGAAAGCATTTATGTATATCTACTGTAAATGGGAACGAATCTTGTTACGAGATGCCGGTACTATACCGCCGGTAGTACATTGCCAGCTGTTTGTAGCCACGAAACCTAGTACCGCGACCTAAGCTTTAATCTCACTGTAATCCATGTAAGTAAATGTTCTTGCTACGACGTCTGCCACTGCTACGAAGCCGGTCAGTGCTACAGCGTTAACGACGCGCTCTTCGTCTCAACGAAGCCTATTACTGCTACGGCCGTTCGGCGCAGGATACCGCGACCTAAGCTTTAATTTAGTCTCGCTGTAAGTAAATGTTCTTGTTTCCACTGCTACGGAACCGGTCAGTGCTACCACGTTTGGAAAGCCGTAAAATCTACTGTAAATGGGAACGAATCTTGCTACGACGTCGCCAACTGTTTGTAACTCGAAGCCTATCACCGCTACGGCCGTCCGGCGCAAGATACCGCGACCTAAGCTTTAAGTTAGTCTCTTATGTTTCTACTACGACGACTGCCGCTGCTACGGAACCGGTCAGTGCTACGACGTTTGGAAAGACTTAAAATCTACTGTAAATGGGAACGAATCTTGCTACGACGTCGCCAGCTATTCGTAACTACGAAGCCTATCACCGCTACGGCTGTTCGGCGCAAGATACCGCGACCTAAACTTTAAGTTAGGCTCTTATGTTTCTACTACGACAACTGCCGCTGCTACGAAGCCGGTCAGTGCTACGACGTTTGGAAAGACAAAATCTACTGTAAATGGGAACGAATCTTGCTACGACGTCGCCTGCTATTCGTAACTACGAAGCCTATCACCGCTACGGCCGTCCGGTGCAGGATACCGCTACCTAAGCTTTAAGTTAGTCTCGCTGTAAGTAAATGTTTCTACTACGACGACTGCCGCTGCTACGAAGCTGGTCAGTGCTACGACGTTTGGAAAGCCGTAAAATCTACTGTAAATGGGAACGAATCTTGCTACGACGTCGCCAACTGTTTGTAATTCGAAGCCTATCACCGCTACGGCCGTCCGGCGCAAGATACCGCGACCTAAGCTTTAATCTTGCTGTAAGTTAAAAAATATCTGCTACGACGTCTGCCACTGCTACGAGGCCGGTCAGTGCTATATCGTAATCTCGCTGTAAGTCAATTTTCTTGCTACGACTTCCGCAACCACACAAATTTAATTAATCTCTGTAAGATAAAAATATGTTTTTGCTACGATGTCTGCCACTGCTACGAAGCCGGTCAGTGCTACAGCGTTAACGACGCGCTCTTCGTCACTACGAAGCCTATCACCGCTACGGCTGTTCGGCGCAAGATACCGCGACCTAAACTTTAAGTTAGGCTCTTTAAGTGNCGACTGATAAGAATGTTTAAAAGATATTTTTTTTCTCTTTGATTTGACACCAAAATGTCAAAAAATCTAAGAATTGGATTTATCCGAGTTTGAAGTTAAGCGACACTATGTTTCTACTACGACAACTGCCGCTGCTACGAAGCCGGTCAGTGCTACGACGTTTGGAAAGCCGTAAAACCGCTTGGAAAGACGTCGCCAGCTATTCGTAACTACGAAGCCTGTCACCGCTACGGCCGTCCGGCGCAAGATACCGCGACCTAAGCTTTAATCTTGCTGTAAGTTAAAAAATATCTGCTTCGACGTCTGCCACTGCTACGAGGCAGGTCAGTGCTACGACGTAAGTCAATTTGCTGGCTACGACGGTCCGTGGTCCGTGACCATTCAAACTTTAATTAATCTCGCTGTAAATTATTCTTGCTGAGACGTCTACCACTGCTACGAAGCCGGTCGCTGTTACGGTGGTCGGAAAGCATTTATGTATATCTACTGTAAATGGGAACGAATCTTGTTACGAGATACCGGTACTATACCGCCGGTAGTACATTGCCAGCTGTTTGTAGCCACGAAACCTAGTACCGCGACCTAAGCTTTAATCTCACTGTAAATGTTCTTGCTACGACGTCTGCCACTGCTACGAAGCCGGTCAGTGCTACAGCGTTAACGACGCGCTCTTCGCCACTACGAAACCTATCACCGCTACGGCTGTTCGGCGCAAGATACCGCGACCTAAGCTTTAAGTTAGTCTCGCTGTAAATAAATGTTTCTACTACGATGTTTGGCACTGCTACGAATGCATTCACTGCTACGGCGATCGGAAAGTTACAAAGGCGTGCTGTCCCCGGCTGTTCGTTATTACGAATCCTATCACCGCTACGGCTGTCCGGCGCAAGATACCGCGACCTAAGCTTTAAGTTAGTCTCCCTGTAAGTAAATGTTCTTGTTTCCACTGCTACGGAACCGGTCAGTGCTACGACGTTTGGAAAGCCTCACTGCTACGACCATCCGGCGTAGGGTATCGCGACCTAAGCTTTAATCTAATCTCTGCTGTAAGTTAATGTAGCTGTATTGTTCTTGCTACGACGTCTGCCACTGCTACGAAGCCGATCAGTGCTACGGCGTTCGGAAAGCCTTAAAATCTACTGTATAAATGAAAATTAATCTTGCTACGGCATTCGGTAAGCCGTAAAGATGTCATTAAATCTCTTTGCTGTAATTAAATTACGATTCTTGCTACGACGCCAGTGACTGCTACGAAGCCGGTCACTGCTACGGCGTTTAAAAAGCCGCGTAAACGTCTTGTAATAGTTTTTTTTTTTATTTTTGCTACGTCTACGACGCTACTCAATGCTACAAATGCACAAACTAACATATAATTTTATAACAACAGTAGCTAAGTAGCTACAAACGCTGAATGTTTAACTCGATAGGTTTTTTTTTCAAGAATTTAGCTATAAAAATGAACTTATCACAAGTCACATCGCACCGGCTGACCAAGCAAAATGTACTGTAAATTATCATAACAAAATTGATTTCAGTATTTCATAAAAGCATTTTTAACTAACTTGTACACTGCCTTATTTATTAAGTGCCAAATCACTAAAAAGTATGCTTAACGCAGTTCTTAGTAGACATTAAATTCTCACATCACAGAATCATCGCCAATAGTTTTTCCTTCACCAAAAATAAATCCTGTGTATTTAAATAATACGTCAGAATCACAATATTTATGTGAGCAACTCAAAACTATGATAATGGCATACTTCTCTAAGAAAAACTTACTAAATGTAAAATATTATGTAAAATCGCAATAAAATGTCAAATGTCGACTATACACTACTTGTGTACTAATAATGAATTGTATAAACATTGTGTAAAAATTACTAAATTGTTATTATTAACAGCGTTTGATACTGGGTTGATTCTTAATTTACTATAAAAAAATAATTCATTGATTATATTATACTGATTTAAATAAGTATAAAAGTCCGAATGTTTTTCAAATTTTTCAAGCATTCAAACAGTGACTTTGGGTACGAGGGGCGGCTGAAAAGTTTTGAGCCTAGGGTATTAAAAATGCCGATAGAAAAGTATAAAAAATATATTCTTCTATTTAATCTCCCTCTACTACAACGGACTTCTTACATTTGTGTAAAAGAGCTTTTAACCCACTGAAAAAAAATTCGCAATCTTTGCCTTCGAAATGAGCCTTTTTAACGCCACCTTCATTTCTTTGTCACTCAAAAATCTTCGTTCCTGGAGGTCTTTTTTCCAATTTGAGAATTAGACAAAATAGCTAGGGATTCGGACTAAACTGTGTGGTGGGTGATTAATTTCTTGAAATCCAGTTTTACCCGGGGCAAGCCATGCAAAATGCGCGGTGTGCGCGGGCGAATTGTCTTGCAATAACAGATTTCCTTTCGCCAGTTTGCCTCTTAATATTTCAACAACCACTTGACGCACTTTCATCAACAGTACAGCATAATAATCCCCGTTTATTGTAGTTTTTTTTAATTAGGTAGTCAATGAATAAAATTCCTCAACAATCCCAAAAATAGTGACTATGAGCTTGGGTGTCGATCGCTCCACTTTGAATTTCCGCGGCGGCGTTTTCCCTTTTGAATCCATTGCTTTGAGTCTTATTTTGACTCTAGATCGTACTGCCGGATCTATTATTTATCAATAGTGACAATGTGAGAAAAAAAATTGTTAGGATTATGGCCAAAGATGTCCTAAAACTCCTGCGAAGTTGTGACTCGACGCTGGTTGTCAAGCGGCGTGAGCATTTTTGGCACCCATCGCACGCACCCCTATTTCATGTGCAAATGCGTATGAAAAATATCGCCGATACGTTCCTTGCTAATGCCTATGGCTTCAGCTATCTGTCACAGCTTAATTCGATGATCTCTAAAGCAAGATTCTTTAAATTTTCATTATTTTATTCGTTAATGGCGAAATCTGACCGCCCTGACTTGCGGTCATCTTTTAGCGACTTCCTGCCATGCTTGAATTATCGGATCCAATCTTTCATGGTGATAAATGAAGGCCCAGACTCCCCATAAACTGTAGACATCTCTTCAAACGTTACCGTCAGCGTTTTGTTCCTCTTTTTGAGGAATTTTATGACAACTGTGTACTTCAATTTCGTACATTGCGCGGATGACTGAGACATGATGATGTTTACGGATTAATTACTAAAAGCGTGATGACGCTAATGAAATGAAATTTTGTACATATACTAAGGAGGTTATTGGCAAATTAATTAAATTTAGTGCGAGTTAATAATAACACTTGAAGATACTTAGGCTCAAAACTTTTCAGCCGCCCCTCGTATATTCAGTATAGCGATATCCGATTCAACACGTGTTTATATGATTATTAATGTAATATTGTATTTGATAAAGGATATCTCTATCAATATAATGTAGAACCAGTTTTGGTCTCTGGTTTTGTACATAAATTGGATGACCCAGTGCAATGTAATCGCCATTTTGGTGAACTAAAAAATTAAATATGCAATAGATATGTCAACGTGAAATTGTGAATTCTGTCAGTTTATAATATAACGCGTTAGATTGTAAACTAACAGTGGGTTAGGTTAGGTTAGATTGTAATTTAACGGAATTCACAATTTTACGGTGACAGATACATCGCTATACATAATATATGTATGTCGTGTAAGTGTCGCGTTCTCTTAATTAATGAGAATCGTACACTTAAAAATGAATACAGCCTTATTACAAAAAGTATTTACTGTCTCCCCTTAGCCGACAAGCCAGCGGGAAGAGTGTAGACCAAATCCTCCATTTGCTTCTGGCAAATTAGAGAAAGTCGTGCTTCTGTAGTGGAGACTGAATGACCTGGATTATGACAAAAAATTACGATATTTTAATTAGTCAAAATGGAGGACACTACGGTTTTACGATTATTATCAAGTACGCCGATTAATAGTTGGGCATATTAATATCATGACAGTAAGAGTATGCGCACACCGTTGATTTTTAGTTGGCCGATAGTTGTGCCCGATTTTAAATTGTATGAAGAATCGGCCAAATCGAATCGGCGTAGTGTGCGCACTCCCATACATGCCCATACTGATCAACTGCCCGACTAAACTATCGGCCGACGAAAAATCAACGGTGTGCGCCTACTCTAAAGTTTGCTTATTTTGTAATAAGGCTGCTAACAATTAATTTATTTTATAATCGCTTACTGCTTTGTTTAGACTATGAATAAGTAGATATAAAATTGTATATTCCTAAATTAAGTAAGAAAACTAGTAAGCAATTGCTAACTAAAATAAACATATAAAAATATAAATGAAAAGTAAAAAAAATATACAATATGTATTATAATTTTGTAGCAAAGTCTGTGTAGCTAGCTATAATGATTGTCTAGTTGTAATTAGGTCGATAATTATAGTGAATTAATTAAGGTAAGTTTTTTAAATTGTGTTTTGTCGTCTCTACGATGAGTAACGGCCGAGAAATGTTAAGATGTTTTTTTAAATCATTGACGTTTATTACTATAGGTATCGAGCATTATAATAAGCTTCGAATCTTTCTAAGATAAAAAAAATGCTTCTCCACTTCATTTATTTAATGTAGGTAATAAAAATACTGTTCTTGACTCAGCGTAAAAATCGCTGCAAGTAAAAAATCATGTTATCTGTCAAAATTATGTCAGATTTTTTTTTCTTTTAGCCTCTATTTTGTGGAGAGGCAAGTCATGTTTACAATAGACCAGCGCTTCCCAAACTATTATTTACTTTGACTGCTGTGATGCACTTGGGAATTTGTCATTTTTGTTACAATGACGAACACTACAAAAAAAAACAGTGCAACATCGCTTCAAATTCTCAAGATAATCGCGTAAAAGCTCAATGAAGTGCATTTTCTTTACTGTAACTCAAGGAATTGAGGGGGATATCATTTATTTTTTATTTGTACCTATTGCACAAATTACTTATCGCCCAGTCCGACCTTCACCGTTCGGCTATCGTGGCTTCATTCTCTAATCGTTGTTTAAATGTTATATTCACTTTAAATATAATTTTACTTGACACTTGGCTAAATTTTCTAACTGCACGAAGCCACAATAAAAAGAAATAGTTTGGGAAGCTATCATGAGAGCTAAGGAATAGACTAATTTTAAGGAAAAATACATTTGGCAGTATAGGAAGCTGTTTCGGACAAAAGCCTAGTCAAGTGGCAGTTAAGACTGAATTGGCACAGTTGTGGATAGTTGTTATTGTGATATGTAAGTACGGTGACGATTTGATATGCAAGGATGGAATTAAAGGTTAACGCTGAGTTGCACCACCTAACTTTGACCGTAACTATAACGGTAACCGGTGTATTTTGTATGGAGTTTGACAGATTTTTGACGTTTGTTAAAGTAAAAGTAAGATGGTGCAACCCAGCCTAAGATGGTAAAATCTTGCGTCGAAATTTTTGACAAGTGTCAAATAGCTGGTCACACTTTAGCGCCAGATACTGCACTATTTTTTTTTTGTTATGTAAGTTCTCATTTAATTTCGAACCTTATACTTATGAGATATAATGTCCATTATGGAAACTCAATGCTGCCAACCAACTGGTATAAAAAAGCTTGCACCAGTCGCGCGTCTCTTTTATTAAATAATAAACATGTAGTTTAATAATTTAAAAAATAATAAGTGGCGTTATTATTTGTCTATTTTGGTACATTTGATTCGGCAGCATTTGTTGAACGACTATGAGTTGACTATAATCGAGAAATTCGATGAATATTCGATTTATTTAGATTACGCTGACCGGTGTTACTCCGCTCACTATATTTTAAGTAATTTTGCACAGAGCCGCGTTTAATTTAATTCTATATTTATTTAGAAAATATATGCCCAAGTTCGACTTTGCTTTGTTATGTAAAATTTATATTTATCCTCAGTATTATTTATATTGTTTAGCCGTGATAATATCCACAGTAAACTAGTCTGCGATCTTCCTATTAAAATAATCGTAGTGCATTTAGATTTTTGAAATTATATTTGTTTTAATGACAACTGCAGTTTTTGCAAATGCTTTTTATAAAAACCAGGCAGCCAGCGTTTGAGAACTATGATAAAAAGTATGAAAGTAGATTGTTATTGAATAACGTTTATACAAAAATAGTAATACAATGCACAAAACAAAAATCGTTCACTATAGTTTATCATACTTTTCTAAGTAGATACAGACAACAGAAGATTAATCTTTTGTAGTGGAAATAGTTGCTACTTGTATATTGCAACATTCTTATTTTTGTAATTATTTCATTTTTTGTATTCATTAGTTTATTTCATATTGTGAAATGGAAACCAAGCTTAAATCGTTGTGTTGTTGCCAACAAGATCGTAAAAAAATAAAAATAAGGTAACTCATGTAAAATACGCTATTGACTTATTACTACGTGCGCGATAAGCTTAGATCTGCGTAACATCTGCAATGATATTTTTTACACTCCTACGATCAGTCATGTCTTTTCTTATGTTGCACGTATTGTATGGACAACAGCTGATCAAGGTAATCACTGTGACACTTTATATTGTATTATAGCCTGACCAGGAACATAAAAACCCTCGCCATGTTCACTGTGACACTTTATATTGTATTATAGCCTGACCAGGAACATAAAAACCCTCGCCATGTTGCGGAAAACTTATGGTACTAATTTCTTTTAATGGCAACAGTAACTGAAAACTTCATTGTCATGTCACCTTGCATGTCAGTCTATTGCTGTCAAAGTGTAAACAAACTTTATTTTAAATGTGCGCAATTGATTTTGTGAATTAAATTGCTAAAATCTTTTTATAGTCGTGAAATAAAAGTGATTTACAATGTGTTAAAGTATTTGTCGAAGAGAAATACTAAGGGTTCGGACAATATTTTCATTGAATAATGTTTCCGACAAAGGTTGTCAAATTGACTGACATGTTTATCGCATAGTACAGTCCACTATGAAAATTAGCTGTGGTTTGTTTCAACTACCTATTTTAAATTTTTTTGTCACTTTCTAAGTGTTGAATTTTATGGAATTGGGAAAGATATACCGAGTTTGAAGCGTTCATGAGCAAACATTGCAGTTGAATATTCAAGTTCTGAATTTGATTATTGATGAATAATAAAATAAATCCTACTAGCTCGATTGATGGTTTCATTTAATTTATTTAAACCAGGTTACCTATAATAATATTTTTTCGTTAATTTATGAAAATATCAAATTAGCCCGTAATCCTGAATCCTGATACATAAAGTTAGCCTATTAATTTAACACAGGTACGACTGTACTTAGTGTTGCACTATCAAATGCAATTGACGCGCCTCTATGCCAGGGTTTTTATGTTCCTGGTCAGGCTATAGTTGCGATTTTGCTACAAAAAAGTAGACTGTACTCTATGACGTCACAGGTCTCAACTTATTGCGCACGGGCTGTATAAACTTTGTATTGAATTGAAAATAGCATAAGCTGTTATTTGCGTTTGTAATTTCATAAATTCGACAGTTATTTAAGTTCCATGTTGTACGGATGTTTTGTTTTATTATGGTGCCGGCCGTCTGACGATGAATCAAAAATAAACTCTTTAAAATAATGACGCTTTTTATTTCGTTAATTATTAAAATAATACATACAATAATAACTCAAACTAATGATTTTTACGAGAGAGTAGGTACCTACTTAGGAGTTGTGGATGAATACTTAGCTCTCTTGAAATCTGCAATGTCCTACCCAAAATGGAAATTACAAGTACCTATTTATACCAGTGTTTTTCAACCTTTTTCTAAGGTAACAAAGATGTTGTAGGGACCGAATTTTTCAATTCATACAACATTTATGCATTTGCATAATTCGATTTCAGATAAATCTAAATTTAGAACTTTACTGTTTTTTACTGAAGTAGTTTTAACGACGACCTCTCGCGACCTTCCTATAGATGCGCAGTCGGATAAAAACGCAAATGTGATCGCGGCTTTACATAATGGTTGGTTTTTATAGAATTCCTGAAGAAGGTTTACTTTTAGCTTCGTTCTGAAACCATCGAAACCATGCATCAATTAATTGTCACTTCTGAAATAACAATGACACTGTCAGACGTTACAGATGGATTCGGAGAAATTGTAATTCTTCTCCGCGGGTAAATCAATTTGAGTCAACACTCCATGTGAAATTATTTGTGATACTGTGTAGTCGTGCATTTAGCGTAGGAACACTTTGGGTCCGGAACCAAATTCGAATGAAGACTGAGACAGGTGCCGTGAAAGAAAATAATGTTGGTGCGAAGAAGAAAACAAAAAAAGCTAAGGTTACAAAAGTAAGTACGTACTATTGTAATTAAAGGCAGTAATTACATAGCCTCTTCAATCTGTCTGGCCAGCGTGGGGAGTGTAGGTCTAATCCTCCATTTGCCTCTGGTACATTAGAGAGGGTTTTGCTCTTGCAGTGGAGACTTAACTGACTATTGTACTTAATTGTTCCACTTGCTGTGTATACCTAAATATACCCTCAATACTTACTTAGGTATTTGTTACGATTCTTTTCCTGCGTGAACCACGGATTGATATCAATTATAAAGAGCGCCAAATCGAATGTTACTTATTTCTCATAAATCCAATACTCTCCATGAGTGTCTGATAGAGATCGCTTCATACAAGACCGCCTAAATATACTGTTAAAATTTTACATTTCTTTCAGTATTGTGTGGTGTAGGTATAAACTCAAATTCAAATTATTTATTACATGGCAGATTACAAATAGTGCAATAAAGAGATATCTATCTTCCCTGTTCTTAACAGACAAAAAAGAAGCCCAGAAAATTCCTCAAAATCAGATGTCCGATATGCTTCAACAACCTCAACAACGAGGCGGTATCCTCAACCCGTTGCGGGCACGTGTTCTGTACGCAATGCCTGCTGAAGGCAATGAGGATCAAGAGGATCTGCCCTCTGTGCCGGGTGTCGCTGAGGACAGCCGCGGCCTGCCACCCGCTGTATTTGCACGATAATTTGTGCGAAGAGGACACCGAGAGCTCTTGAGGTAGGCATAGGTGACCTGTTCTTCAGTCAGGGCTGTAGGTAGAATCGAATTTGAGGTAGGGCAGCATGGTTGCCGATAGCAGATGCATATTGCAATCTATGGTACGGGGAATCCCCTTTTCATCACAGAATGTCACAAACTGTAGTGTGTTCGGAAAAGTTTAGATACTTACCTATCGTTATATTTTTTTATCTCAAACTATGTACAAATCTTTTTGGTCATTGTCCCCCTAGCTACGGCCTAATTATTAGGTATCATATAATTTTTAATTATTTACAGATTGGTGAAACAGAATCGAGGATCAGTGATAATGTCGAATTGCTCGAACCATGCTAATGCTTGGTTGAGCTCGAAACATTGTGTCGGCCATCGACGGATCGACGGCCATTTTAGAAGTAGGTAAGTGGAATCGAAATAATCTCGTCTCGTTAGGTAGTGGAATGGTAGGTAAACTGCTTCTTTAATGGCGCAGTTACGCTATGCACGAAATTGATCGAATCGCAAATGCGTTGGGATCGTAAAATCACAATAAAGTTAGTTATGTGTTTTTAGCACCGAGGTTTATTTATTTATTTATTGAAAAAGATACACCAACGACATATAACTTTACATATAACAATAATACAGTGTTGAGTAGGTACAGGTCTTCTTATTATTTTATGTGAATGTTTCAATGGTCTATTTCGTTTTGATATCACCTGGATTTGATTGATTTGATCACCCAAGTGATGACTCCAGGCGACATTTCGGTGTCCTTTCATCACCCACGGATAAGAAGTCCAGGCGACACTTCGGTGTCCTTTCATCATCCATAAGAAGTCCACTTTGATCACCTAGGTGATCTTACCCATGCGTGAACCATCCATGGGTGATCAAAGGACACCGAAGTATAGTAAGCCTGAGCCCCGATTACGGTAATTTTTAACGTCTCCAATCCAGACGCGCTTCATCGATTCTGCCATACGATTGGTCAAAACAGCTGACGTACGCTGTTTTGATCATTACGCTGATCAATCGTATCGCAGAATCGATGAAGCGCGTCTGGATTGGAAACGTTAAAAATTACCGTAATCGGGGCTCTGGAGTCCACTTGGAATATACCGTTTTAAAGAGATACCTTTTATTTTTACAGGTCAAGGAGCTCTCCCTTCTACCCTACGTTTGTGGGGCCGAACGTCCCGCGGTAAATCAACAAATTATATTCGATTAAATTGATACGTTATCGTGCGATTTGAAATAATTTATTAAGAAAATATTTATTTATTTAATAAAACAAAGTTATCGTTACGTTACATTACTTTTATTTATAACTCAGCTGTTATCTAGTATTAACCTATTAAAATTATCAGTATTAATCCAACTAATTAAAAATACATTGATTGGTATGAAACATATATTTTAAAACATTTAATTAATAAATAAATGAGGAAGAAAAGTGCCCAATCTTTAATCGACCTCTGCTACCGATCTCCCATTGTTAGTCGATAGTTCCGATAACTTCTGCTTTATTTCCGTTATCTGAAAGAAGAAACACTCAAGTATAATAAAAAATAATATTAAAAACAACACCCAATGATAATAAAATACGAAATGCTGAAATTACTTTTTGAATCTCGCTCAGCAAGACCTTCTGCTCCGTCCTAGGAGTCATTCCTTCTCTGTTCAAGTCGATGGCCTCCAAATTCTCAAACAACTGCTTTATTTTCATAGCCAAATGCACATCGTTGTTATTCTTTCTCGGAACTGTAGGCTTACACCTCCTTATCAACCTCTTTTTGTACTTATCAGGGAGGTCTTTCTCGATATCCTCCCTAGTAAGGAGGTTCATGTACTCCGGAGCTGTATCGTAAGGAATATTCTGCGAGTCGATTTTGTAGGAGGAGTCGACGAATTGCTGCTTAAATCGATAGTTTCTGCGCCAGTTCTTTAGCAGTTCCAAGTTCCTGAAAATGGTAGTAAGTATGTATTAGGTAAACATTTAATTTAACCAACTCAAAAATTAAAACTAGCGTTCGTCGCCAAGTTAGCAAAAAATGGTCCTTCGAGCCGGACTTCAGAAACGTACTTCCTCCCTTGCAATATCTTATCTCTAGTAGCAAGCAAATCCTTGTGCTTCTTTATAGCCAAATCCTTTAAATAACTTTGTTTTATCTTTACATTTTGTATTTCTCTGCTGTCAGCGCCCTGTGGGACCACATACTTCGAACTTTGATAGTATGGTGGAATAAGCGTGCGACTTTTGGCCAGCTTCGGGCATTTCCCTTTGGTTTTACCGTAGCATTCGTCTCCAGATTCTTCCAATTCTCTCTCGCTAAACTGTATCGATAAAGTTTTTGATTTTTTCAACTTATCGCCATCGATTACTGAATTGTAACTTACTACTTCTTGGTTAAAAACGTCAGGGTAGTTGGCCGTACTGGCAGCATCAGAAATATCGGATTGGGATTGTGCAAACATGTTATCTATGTATTTATGATGAAGGAATTCCAGTATTTTTGTAACACCACCCTTGATGATTTCCTTCGGAGGGTAGACTAGAGGATTACCATTTAACTGTAGAACCTTTAAATTGGTTGTGCCTAATTCGTTAGGCAAAGAATTTAGTTGATTGTTTTGTAATAGCAAATGTGTAAGGCTAGGATGGTTCTGGACCGATTTCGGGAAATCTATTAGTTCATTATCACGTAGATCTAGCCACATTAGACTTGGTAATGATGGGAAGAAATCATCTGGTAACGATGTTATTTGATTATTATGGAGATATAGTATCTGTAAAAGAAATGTTAAATGATTAAGTAAAATATCATAGGGCATCGCTTCTAATAATATAATAATAATATAACTGTGGACACAGAAATTTATCATTTGATTTCAAAATAAACTCACACACAATAATTTGTTATTCGCCAAGTCGGGCACTTCTTTTAGCTGTTTACAAGATAAATCGCAAGTTGTCTCGTCATTCAACACTTCCTCGTAAATATTGCCTGTTGAGCATGAATCAGAAACAACAGACATTATTTTCCTGAAATAAATCAAGTATAAATTACACTTGTGTGGTCAATATAATATCTTAGCAAAATCATTCGATTTTAAATATGGCGCGCACAGATTTTGTCTATGGTTCAAATATTACAAAGTTTGTCATGACTCTATTGACCAATCAACAATGATCTGAATTCCGAAATAAAACATTTGATTGGTCATTTCAGCAATGACAGCTATGAGAGACATGAGCATAATTTTTTGACATTCATTTAACCATAGACAATTTTAGTGATGCGGTTAATGAACTAGCTCTTTCTTATAACTCTTTTGTGTAAAATATAAAAAAAGTTTTCTAAAATGTTAAAATAAAACTAAAATGTCATTTTTTACTTTTTTAAATGGCTATTGGACAACTTATGAATCACCTACCTACTTAAAGATGACCCACGCTGAACTGTCCCACCAAACTCAATGACAGGGGGGCGCTACCATCGTTCAACTATATGGTTTCCAACATAGCAAAAATCTCCAGCGATCCGGTATTGACGGTGGCGCCCCACTGTCAATGTCATCGACAGGACAGTCCAGTATTTTGGAACTATAGGTTAATTTCTCATGTAAGTGACTGTAAGGCTTTTAATGAGAAATAAATGTTTTTTAAACGTAAATTCTATTTTGTATTAATCTATACTTATAATAAATCTGTAGAAAGGTCAATAATAATTCTGTACATGAAATATATTTTCAAAATAACTATCAGGGGGTGATTAGTGATCGATACTGATGCCAAAAATGCAATCAGTAAAATTTTTGTCTGTCTGTCTGTCTGTCTGTCTGTCTGTCTGTCTGTCTGTCTGTATGTTCCTTATAGAAACAAAAACTACTCGACGGATTTTAACGAAACTTGGTACAATTATTCTTCATACTCCTGGGCAGGTTATAGGATACTTAGGAATTCCCACGGGAACGGGCATTAGCGGGAAAATCCTTTTGTATGAAAAATCTAAACCGCGTAAGTTAGACGCTTAAAATTTGGCAAGCAGGTACCTTAGTAAACTTAAAGCTTAGTTATAACAGGATATTGCAAAATTCCTACGGGAACGGGAATTAGTGAGAAAAAACATTTGTATGAAAAAATCTAAACGGCGTAAGTTAGACGCTTAATATTTGGCATGCAGGTACCTTAGTAAACTTAAAGCTTAGTTACAACAGGATATTGCAAAATTCCCACGGAAACAGGAATTACCGGGAAAATCCTTTTGTATGAAAAATCTAAACCGCTTAAGTTAGACGCTTGAAATTTGGCATGCAGGTCCCTTAGTAAACTTAAAGCTTAGTTACAACAGGATATTGCGAAATTCCAACGGGAACGGGAGTAAGCGGGAAAAAACATTTGTATGAAAAAATCTAAACCGCGTAAGATAGATGAAGGGGGTAAAACGGGATCCACGCGTACGAAGTCGCGGGCGGCCGCTAGTTATAAAATATAATCGTTGAACAATTTACAAAGAGGACAAGTGGCACTTTTTAATCACCACTACGAAAATCGAATCCTTTATTGAAGTAGAGCAAGATTGGAGCGTGTAGGCCTAATTTACAACTGTTACTTAGCATAAAAAGAACAGAAAGAAAGAAAAAACATTTATTAGGTATCAAAAATAATACAATACAGACAGAAAAGAATAGAACAAAGTTTTACATTAGTGATTCTTAACTCATTAAGTGAGCTAGTTCAATAATTATGCTCATTAGTGTGAGCTATTGAGCAACAACAAACTGAAGGCACATGGCGAATACGTCACTACTGTCTCAGTTACAAGATGGCGAACGTGCGGGATAGTGACACATCTTTGTGGCTCCACAATAAACTCGGTACATCGAATGATTCGTGGACCAGTGGCTCAATTTGTACACAGTTAAACGCTGAAGTTCTGAAGAATATCAAGGATTGTTTTCCAGACCTGCAAACACAAGTGAAATTGAAATTATTGTTAAGTTTCTTTCATATCCCGCGCAGAAATGTTGAAGAGGTAACTTTTCTCTTTGATGTTCTATGGTTTTGCGTAACTGTATTGTGTTTTGTATCTCTGTCTTGGCGTACGAAAATATATTATGATAGAAAGAGAGATACGATCGACTATAGTTTTATTTGTTGTCATGTAGTAATTTACACAAGAGAAAATTCTAAAATTTATTATTGTTGATCCTTAATTATATAGTTGTAGACTAAGGTTGTAGATGTGTAATGTATGATTTGTAATGCGTTACACTGTCCGTTGTTATTTGACAAAGATATATTGCGTGGTATTAAATTAATTAACGACGTTGTATTTTCCCTCCTATTTTCAGCAGGCGTCACAATTTCAATTATATTTGATGATTGACAAATAAGACTATTGGGAACTCGTTTATAACTTAAATTTATGCTTATTTTATAATGCTAAACTGCTAACATAGGGATACCTAACCTCAAAACCCTTAGTTTACATTTCTGCTAATCTCAAGGTCTCTGTACTCTGTTAAACCAAACACATTCCTTGGCCCAATTAATTGAAATAATTTTCATCACATTCTTCAGTTTGGGCAATAAATTACGTCCATTATAAATATTTTATTGGCAATAAATCTTTTATTTCTTCAATATTTTGTATTTAATTTCACTCACTAATGTCCTTATTTAATTTTATTTTAGTTGTAACCATTCTTAGTAAATTGTTTGAATTTTCAAGCCTATTACAACAAAAGGCTTATCAAAATGTGTAATTTTAGGGTATGGTTCAGTCTCATAAAACATTCATAAATCAATTTTGAAAGCAACAAACCACAGTTTAGAAAATTGGTTTGATAAGGCAATAATTATAGTTTTGTCTAGGTCTTATTTAGATCTAGAAATTCAGAGATTGTCTTGTTTATTGTGTCATAGCAGATTACTAATTTATCTTCAGATCTGGGATTAGTTTAATACTTATTTCAATTAGTACCTAATACAGATTCTAAGATGTAGTTTGACTTCTGTTACGTTACCCTTCACCAGGCCTAGGAAAAAAATGATTTTTTTAATGCTAGACAAGGCAGGTATTTGACCGCAATCGCACCTGGTGTTAAGTGAGATGCAGTCTAGGATGGTACATATCTGCCCAGTAAGTGCCTATTCACTCTCGCCACTATATTTTCAATGATTTTCAACCATATCTTCACAACAAAGTTCAAACTGATGTGGGCTCTATTTAACTGCTGCCTGGTTAAGGGTAATTGGTCCACTCTCTTTTGAATTAACCAGACACTTGACTGGAAAAACAATTCCCTATTTACTTATGTGCATTGAACTAGATTAAAAAAACCTTTTTGTTACAGTGGCGAAATGAACTCGAAGAGATTATCGAAGTGGCAGCGGTGGACTCAGACTTATGGGTGGCGATGCTGGCCGAGGTCCTCAAGACGTTTCCCTCAGCGGGCACCCTCAACACCGAGATAGCAGAGTTTGACGAGACCAGGCCCATCTTCAGCGATATGATCGGAGAGCTGAGACGGGCGCTGGCCAAACACTCTGACCTTGGACTGCTACCTCTTGAGTGCCTATATTTGAATAAGAATGCTTTAGTTTCTGTAGTAAGTTGGATCTTGATATTTTATTTTGACGTACATATGATAGCAATGAGGGTTTTCGCGATTGAAAAATCCGCCAGATGGCAATACGTAGACGCGAGGTCCAAATGCTGCATGATGGTTTATTTTTGACATGACATTGACAGATATGTCAAAATCCACCAATCATGCAGCATTCGGACCTCGCGTCTACGTATTGCCATCTGGCGGATTTTTCAATCGCGAAAACCCTCATACAGACTACATTATTGTTGCAAAATCGCCCTTAATACATGTTAATAAGAAGCCATACTGTTCAGCTTGACTTGTCCTCATCTGTATTTAATTTCATCGTGTGGTCCACACAGCTTATGACCGCAGTCTGTGAAGGAACACTATCTGTGGTCGTGATCCTCATCAGTGAGGGAACGAGGAAGAAGAAGTATTTAATTTGCCCATCATCCGTATTTAACATACAGGGGTGTTTCTAATTCAATAACGTCTGTAGATAGATAGAAAGGAAGATGAATTAGTTCAATAAACAAATTACTGTCAATTGCCTGCCCATGCAATTATATTCAGCTGGCAGTGGACAGCAATTGGCTTGTTTGATTGATATTTAAGTTTTTAAAGGACCCATTTAGTTTCATAGTTTAGACTGAAGTTAAATCGCGAATTATAGGCAGAGTTTTGCTTATAGGCTTCGAGCAAAACGAGTAGTTAATTTTCGCACGGTTTTTTATTCACAGTTCATACAATAATATAATACTTTACACGCAAATCAATCAAGCAATGTCAATATGCCGTTTTTGTAGCATATTAAATGGCTCCGAAACATCACCAACTGAAAAAAGTGATTGCTCTAAGAATGCGAAATGCGCGCAAAATCACGTTTGTTCATTCCTAATCTATATAGGCTGGTTTTAGTGTCACGCGGACCGTCAGAGCCGATCTATATGAACTGCAAGAAAGCGAGCGGTTCCTCCGGACCGCATTACTCTAAAACGCTCCCTAGAAGTTCATACGGATTGGCCGTGCGGAGCGGGTCCGCATCGGACGGTCCGCGTGACACTAAAACCAGCCAAAGACTAGAAAAGCGCCCTAAACATCCTACATCCTACTAAAGTAATTCTACCCCTCAACATTCCAGGTGGGCCAGCAACCCAACGCAGTGAAACACTTCACCCTGAAACGGAAGCCCAAGTCCGTGGCTCTCCGCAGCGAACTCCTAGCCAAGGCTACCGAGGCCCAGGCCAACCAGAAGAAGGCGCAGGCGCCTACAGTGCCTGTTCGCAGTCGTGGCATGCCTAGGAAGATGACTGACACTAGTAAGTGTTTGGCACTAGCTTTTGACTGTGGTTTTGACTGCGTACGTTTTTATAGTCTATAAATGGTCAGTAGGGTGTCCCTTATTTTTCCAAGTTTTAAATTTGTAACGCATAGGTCTTCATTTTGTTTGTTTACCTCTAAAACACTCGGAAATAAATTTTTACCTTATTTGGAGTACGATAACCCGTGCCGACTTGCATCGAAACATGTTGCGCGGCAGTAGCGGTGCGTATTCGCGGTGTTTGTCATTTGTTCTCAATTAATCTCGCGATTAACACCTATTGTTTGACATTTAGAAGATGGCTGTGGAATTAAGAAGCAATAAAAAAGTATTTTCTTAGTCGGGGACGTAAATTTATCAAATAACAGGCACAAAGTTACTGTCTAATCGTCAAATTTTTGCAGTATTTTTAACATGTTTTGCGAAGTTAATTAACTGTTATTGAAAGCACTAATCTCATCATTCGGGAATGTATTATATTTTGAGAAAAAGCTATAAATCCTACCAGAGCCTAATTGTCTAAAAAATCTTGTGTATCTTCACCATACTTGGAGGGAGTTGCAAAAAAAAAATATTTAAAAAAATCAAGATTTATAAGCGCCGCGGTGAAGAGGATTTAAAAACAAATAGAATATTTTTACAAAAACCAAAAAAACCTAGGCGTCCAGGGTGTTAAGGTATAAACCAAAAGTTAGTCAAGAAAGAAGAAAGTGCAAGACAAAGAAAATTAATTAAATAAATAAAAAATAGATAGAGCACATTTGTTTCGGAGGTTTATCGTCATCTCTTACTACGCAAGATTCTATACAAACGCAAGGACATCACGACCAACTTACCAGCTCTGATGAAAGCCTTAAGGAACTCTGGAAATCCACTTTCCATAAGGTATATGAGAGTGTTGACAAATTGATTTCCAAAGCAGCCTTGAGCAAGTTTAGTCAACATCTTTGGTACTTCATGTCAGAAGAAATTGCCGTTTTATCACTCTTTGATGATGAAGGTAATGAACAAACACCGTCAATATTGTAGTAAAAGTACAAAGAGAGAGTATGTATGATTCTGGGAAGAGATACATTCCATCTGAAGAAGGTATGATTATTTCTATGGTAAATAGGACCTAATTTTTTTGTCATGTTTTTAATGAATTGATAATAATACTGCCTTATTTATTGTTGCTGGAAACCCATTGAGTGATTTAGTGTCTGTCAAGACTGTACATTTATTTTTTCCATTGAAAATTGATAAGAATTTTCCCCTGAGACCCATTTCTAAATGAGATGAAGATGTTGCCTATTTAAAGGCAAAAAAGTGCTTTCTTTAAGGGTAGTTAATGATACAGCTAAGGGGGCTTTAAAGCTTTTGCAAGATTTTCATTGTTTGATCACTGCAAAGGAAGAGCAAAAGCTATTTTTGTCACCCACAGTGTAGCAAAAATCAGGCCAATATTCAGGAGCATGAAAATCTGTAATGTTATCTTCTTTTTATAAATATTTTATAAAATTTAAATATTTTAATTGATTTAGCTACATAACCAAAGGGGTAAAACCAGCATTTTTTAAAATCTTCAGAGCTTAGTCGGCACGGGTTAATGTTGACGTAGGAAGATGAAATTTTGTATTTAAGTATGTCTGAGTAGTACGAAAAGAAATAGAGGGTATGCATTTCAATATCTAAAAAAAAAATTTTTTCGGCCATATAAGGGACACCCTACTGGTCAGGAATAATGTAGTGTTCTATTGTGTGTTTAGTGCGAGTTTACACCAAACGTCGTCGCTAGCGATTGCGTAAAAAAATGACATGAAATGTGTGACTGATTATACAGTGATCTTAGCAGATACTTTCAAGAAAATCTTCATAGAATTTTCTGACGCACTCGCTAGCGATGAAGTTCAATGCAAACTCGCACTAAGCATTAATCATTACTAAGGTGTAATTTTTGAGTAATTTTAATTTCCAATACAACTAAAATTAGATTAAATCTTTGTTATGGTACAAGTCACTTCCACCTTTGGCCAGGTGAAATGCAGGCCAACAATATCCCTTTTTTGGTTAAATATTTTTCTATTGTGTCCTATATTTATTTATTTTAGGTGTCGATATTTTTAATACTTTCGCATTGGTATGCTAAAAATTTCAAAAATATGAGCTATCTTTTTATATTGGACAACGTCCGACGATTAGCGTAACGCGTCTTCCGAATTAGAGCAATAGAAGCCCGTAATATCCTAACAAAAGCTAGCCTTGACCTAATTTTATCAGGCGTACCACGTTATGTAAAATACGTTTGATTTGCCTAACAGATGGACAAAGTGATAGGTTATGTATGAAGTGATCTCAGACGAATAAATTGGTGGCGCCATACTTTGCATTAGGGAACTGCGCAAATTGTCATTCTTGTGTTTATATCATAGATTTCCTCTCAGAATTAAAACGATTTCGAAAATGCATATTAATTTAAGTATAAGACAATTTTCAGATGTATTATAACAAAATAAGTTATTAGTCGGCTAGCCGCAAAAATATTCGTATGAATCATTCGAATGGATGAAAATCTTGAAAGGTAATAAATCATTCGAATGACGAATGAACATTAAAATTTATCGAACTAATTAATCGAATATTTCGATCTTATTTTTTTTGACAATCGCTACATTCATTTATTTTTTTTACGCAGCGCCTTTCAAAGGCCTGCCGTTTCACAGCGAAATCGACAGTATGAAATTCGTGTCCGTAACCGATGTAGCCTTGTATCGACATAAGCAAGCTCAGGCGAATGAGTGGCTCATTTGGCCGAGCCGCTCATTTACCTGAGTATGCTCAAGTGGATAAGGCCACCAGTAAATGCCAAGTCTTTAGAGCACTAGGAAAAGTGAAACTGTCATTGGACCTTGAAATTTCGAACTCTTCCTATGTTCTTCTGATTAATTTCGTTGCGGGTCCAATGACAGTTTCAACTTTCCTCCGGGACAAATTTGACTTTCATTGGTTGGGTTTTATGGCGGTCAAGCTGTAGATCCTGGCTACACAGGAGTTGCAGTGGTGGGAACGAGAGGTGGGAGTAGTCCCGTTTTGTCATTGGACCTTCAACCCAATGGTCCTGTTAATAAAACCACAGAATAATAATAAGTACTACGTACAGAAGTTTTACTTCGCGAAGGTATTTAAAAAAATGTATGCTCAATGTCATTAACAATGTGGTGTAATTTAGCCTGTCTCAAGAGTCAAGCACCATTTTGTTGACAAACGTCAGTGATCGGCACTGCGCCGAAGCTATAGGGCTGACTTCGGTAAAATGATGTGACGTGAGGTACCAAACTGCGGAAAATGGCGGAGGAAATACATGATTTAGCATGAATTATCATGAATGATATTCATTAACTACTTATTTACCTCTCAGTGTCTTGAGGCAACTTAAAAAAGTACAGTCTGTGTTTTTATTATTATTTAGGCATTTAAATACTGCACAGTATTTAGTACACCATTTTCTTTATTTTCTTCTATCATACACAAGAATACGCGTGCGTGAGTCAATGTTCGCTCGTATGTGAGGCCTTGTCGAATAGTATCGTGTAGGTGGGCCATCGTGCGTGTTTTGTTTTCGATGTAAACTCGCGGAGATGAAGAGGCCTGATAATACTTCTTTTCTTTCTCTAGCGCCGCTCAAAGGCCTGCCGTCCCGCTGGGCGGGCCGCGGCGGCGGCGGGGCGGGGCGGCCCCTCCCCGCGGTCCCGCGGCCCCCTCCCCGCGCGGGAATCAAGCTGCTGGATATCACAGAGCAGCCCGCTACACACGCGCAGATTAAGAAGCGCAGGAAGCTTGGTGAGTGTGACACTTATTGCTTGGGAATAGAGTCCACTCTCGACTGCCAGCAAGCTGCTGGATATCACAGAGCAGCCAGCTACGCATGCTCCGATCAAGAAGCGCAGGAAGCTTGGTGAGTGTGACCCTTATTGCTTGGGAATAGAGTCCACTCTCGACTGCCGGCATCAAGCTGCTGGATATCACCAGATTAAATACAAATGAGTAGGTCATCTTCATAGAAACGCCCGAGCGCTCACATACAAACCGCTATACAGCCGGCTACGCATGCTCAGATCAAGAAGCGCAGGAAGCTTGGTGAGTATGACCCTTATCGCTTGGGAATAGAGTCCTCTCTCGACTGCCGGCATCAAGCTGCTGGATATCACAGAGCAGCCGGCGACACACGCGCAGATCAAGAAGCGCAGGAAGCTTGGTGAGTGTGACCCTTATTGATTGGGAATAGAGTCTAATCTAGACTGCAGAGATCGGGCAGCCCGCCACGTATGCATGCTCAGATCAAAAAGCGCAGGAAGCTTGGTGAGTGTGACCCTTAGTGCCAGGTAATAAAGTCCACTCTCGACTGTAGGCCGACAGCCCGCCACGCATGCTCAGATCAAGAAGCGCAGGAAGCTTGGTGAGTGACCCTTATTGCTTGGGAATAGAGTCCATTCTCGACTGCCCTGATCAAGATGCTGGATATCACGGAGCAGCCCGCGACGCATGCTCAGATCAAGAAGCGCAGGAAGCTTGGTGAGTGTGACCCTTATTGCTTGGGAATATAGTTAAATTTACTTCGCCGCGTACCGGAAAACGCAGCGTGCGACTTCCACCTACAAGATGGTCCGACGACATCATAAAGGTAGCAGGAAGGCGCTGGACGCAGGCCGCTACCAAACCGGGCAACAATGTTCAGCAGTGGATGTCCTATGGCTGAGATGATGATGATGATTGGTTGATCTTTATTAACTGGAAATAGTAAATAGTTCAAGGGATAAATTAAAGTTTCCTCAGTAAAGTAAGGCTAAAGACTAAAAAGTACGATTTGTTTCAGAAATGGAGGAAGGCGCGAAAAAGGCCCCGCCCGCGGCTCCCGCGTCGCCGCCGCCGCCTGACTTCGCCAAGGGCCTGTTACCGGCCAAGACGGAACCAGAACCAGCTGGTTAGTATATTTACAACAGTTAAAGTATTGCGTATACCTTCTCTTTAAAACAGCTGCTTCTAAGGATGTTTTTAATATCTTGTGGATGTCATTATGCATGCGGGACCTGCAAGTGTCATTTTTATATCTGCAAGTGTATTTTTTGTAATGCGTGGAATACGCACGCGGTGGGTGAGGGGATGAGAGGCAATCCCCCTTGCCCTTTGTAAATAAGTATGCCACATTTGACGATAATTATGTAGAATATGAGTGTAACGGAATAGATGAATGACTTGCTATTTTAACTTATAGACGATGAAGAATCCTTCTTACGGATAACGGACGGAATAAGAGAAATGGAAGGGATAGAATAGAAAGATTGATGCCCGTTTTCACCATGATTACTTAATTTTTAAGTGTCCCTTATGGTAACACATAACAGGAATTTTGTTTTCATAGGGGTAATTTGAAAATTAGGGATTGATGATGAAAACGGGCATGAGAGTTAGAATCGGAGTTGAAACATAAGTGTAAGAAAGGAAATGAACAGTTCAGTTGCTAAAAGTACAAAATAATTATGTATTACTAGCTTTCCGCCCGCGGCTTCGCCCGCGTGGAATTTTGTCTGTCACAGAAAAACTTTATCGCGCGCGTCCCTGTTTCAAAAACCGGGATAAAAACTATCCTATGTTCTTTCCCGGGACTCAAACTATCTCTATGCCAAATTTCATCAAAATCGGTTGCGAGGTTTAAGCGGGAAAGCGTAACAGACAGACAGACAGACAGACAGACAGAGAGACAGAGTTACTTTCGCATTTATAATTGCGCATTTATAGTTGGGATTATTGACGAAAAAGCTCAGCATTGAAGACGTAAAACATTGATCATACCGTCTTAATGTTTGTCCACAGCGGCGAGTGCGAGCGAACCGACGGCAGCAACAGAGGCGGCGCCCGAGCCCGCGCCGGAGTCCGAGCCAGCGCCGCCCGCGCCCGACCGCCCGCCGCCGCTCACCAGCCCGCTACTCGTGCAGGTGTGTACAATGTACATAGTAGGGGAGAGTTCGGTATATTGTACCGCCGGGTAAATTGTACCACCCTCATATTTCGTAAAGTATTTATTGAATGTCTGTAATTGCAACACTCAGCGATACACAACTAAAATCAATTAATATCGGCCATGTTGTTTTTGCCGTGACAACGAACACGTGTGTTTTATTTTGAAAAGTATTTTTACATTGTTTTCAAGTAACTTTTGACAATACATGTTTAGATTGTAATTTTGTTAAATTTAATCACAGGGTGTTTCTAATATATTATTTAGAAGCGTAAATTAGTGTGGATTATAATTATTTGAAACATTTTTCGGTATTTATAAGCTATATTTTTTACCGATTTTTTAAAAGCACTATCACCTAGTCGGCTAAATTGTACCACATCAAGTTGTATGGAACTTTACCAAAGGATTTTGAAATTTTTTTTAGTAAATCATATTTTGAAGTTATAATAGCGTAGTTATGTTTGACTAACAATAAATGAAAGCAAAAGACTGGCAAAGTAGATTAGGTACAAGTGTACGTTACGATAATTGGAATTACAAAACTTGTACTCAAAATCGTGATAACGTGTAAAACAATATCGATTGTCTATGTTATTAACTACTGTTCCTCTTCGTTTCCTAATTTGTTAAGAATGTGTCGTATAATATTTTGCCATAGTTTTTTTAAAGGCTTGAAATTTATTGAAATCCAATTTAGTAACCCTGTGGTACAAATTATCGAACCGGTTGGCTAAATTGGACCGAAGCTCTGAACTCGTACTTTGTTGATTTGTGCTAATTATACAACAATCATGTTAATTAATATTTATGAAATAGTAAGTTGAATAATGTATCTTTTATTATATACCATGGACATTAGCAAAAAAAAGAAAACTATCTGTAAAATGGGATTGAAAAAAACTGGTCCAAATTAGCGGACTCTCCCTTACATAGCAATAGTTATTACAATGTGATCTTAGCCAAAAGCCCGAGAAGCGAACAGCAATAAATGTTATTCTTGATAATAAACTCCGACAAACGTTACTTCGACATTACGTTACTCCGACCCTACTGAATATCGACATGACTTTACTCCGACACTACTGAATATCGACATGACTTTACTTCGACACTACACTACTCAGAGAAAGGCGTAATATCCTTTGTCTGAGTTTAGTAGTGTCGGAGTAACGTTCGAAGTAACGTTTTTCGGAGTTCAGTTTTTGATTCCGTGAAAGTATATCTGTCTTTTTCTCTTTATAAAAGTGTAAAAGAAACAGATACACTACACTCACGGATAATACTGTCACAGGCGACAAAAAAGTCACGCGTGCGCGCGTACCTTAATAAAAGATAGATTTGATTGAATGAAATCCAACATCACTTCTAACATAAATAATATGGCACTATATGCCTAGCCCATAACGGCATATGACGTAATAGATCATAGAAGTGAACATCTGAATTCTTGTTGACGTCCACAAAAACACCTTCTTATGCCGTTCCTATACCTCAGACACTGACTCAGTTAGTAGATCTGTAGTTTCTTACTTGAATGATTAAATAAATGCATCCGCCTTATTCAGTCACACAAAGCAACCAAGTTATTGTTTTTTTACTCCATATGGGACCTACTAAAACCAGTGTCATGACTCGTAGCCTCTTTAAGTCCCATTGAAATGGGCAATCCCAATGCAAAAGGTGCCACCCTTTATACCGTTTCCTTTTAAAGAAGAAGAGATTCGCGATTCGTCTTTTTTTTTCATCATTCGTTTTTTTGTGCTATAAATTATGTTGTATCGTGTACTATTTAAACTATTTTATTTACTAAAACAACCCTTATTTCCCCAGGGCACGGGAGCGAAACCAATCGTCCTGGGCCAACAGCCGAAGCTTCTAATAGCGGGGCAGGCGGGCAAGCCGCTGCTGCTGTCAGCTCAGAACCTGCTCAACACCTCCGCCGTCATCCTGCAGCCGGGCGGCAAGGCCGTGCTGCTGCAGAACATCAAGCCGGTCAGTATAATGTGGTGGGAAATATATTCCCACCGCCGTATAAAGGGTTAATGTGGTGCTGCTGCAAAATATCAACCGTTAGTGCGTTAAAACAAGCGAATAAAGTGTAAAATGTGGTGGGAAAATATATTCTCACTGCCGTATTAAAGAGATAGTGTGGTGCTGCTTCAAAATATCAACCGGTAGTAGCTTAAGACGCGAATGAGTTTTAAAATACGGTGGGAAATATATTCCCACGGCCGTATAAAGATATAGTGTGGTGCTGCTGCAATATGTCAACCGGTAGTGCGTTATGACAAGCGAATTAGGTTCAAAATACGGTGGGAAATATATTCCCACTGCTGTATAAAGGGTTAAATTCAGGCACGTCACGTCGTGAACTCTTAATTTAGCCGTTTACGAATTCAACGCATTCTGTCTCTGTCGCACAACACGTCTATTGAAAATATTAGATATCAACTCTGTAGCAATTAGCATAAAGCTCGAAATTGATTGCTTTGAATATGGATTAAACGGACGGTGTACCGCGTTTAAAATTCGTCGTCGACTTGCCAGTTGATATGAACGCCGTGAACTCTTAGTTTAAGACGTTTACGAATTCAACTATAGTCTGGTCTGTGAGCACGTAGAATTTTGTCCAATGACCCCTAGCTACCCATCCTTATCGCTCGCGCGTAAATAAGTTGCTATCGCGCTCGCACACTCACTGCGGGTGCCAGTCGCACAGTCGTGACATCAATATAATTACGCGCGAGCGATGAGGATGGGTAGCTAGGGGTCATTGGACAAAATTCTACGTGCTCACGGACCGGGCTTTAGTTGATGAATGAACGGTAGACCGTCTATACGTCGACGGTTGATTTCAACCGTTCGTTGATTCAACGCCCATCGTTTAACCATAGTGTATGTTCCCCAGGTGACCCAAACGGTGGTGCAACCAGCGGCGGCGCGCAGTCAAGCGCCCGTGCCTGCATTACACGCGGTGCAACCGCAACCGCCACCGCAGCCCGTGCAGCAGCCGCAGCCGGTGCGTATAAGTGTTTATTATACTGTGTGTTCCTCATTCCGTTCGTTCGTTTCAGCCGAAAGACGTCCACTGCTGGACAAAGGCCTCCTCCAAGGTTTTCCACAATGCACTGAGTTTGTTCCGGCGTTTCTTCTCAGCACTTGCCATATGTTTGTCTCGAAGCGCTGGTAGGGCCCAAAAGATAAGGAGACATGTAAAGTGCCCCATAAGGGCTACCTTTTCTTTTTTTATTATTTTCTATTGACGTTCATAAGTGCCACTTGTGGTCTAAACTGAATAAATATTTTTGATTTTTGATTTTGATTTTGATTTTGCACGGTCTTGCGCTGCCCGCATCCAGGCTCTTCCCGCGACCTTTATCAGATCGTCGGTCCACCTAGTGGGAGGCCTGCCCACGCTATGTCTTCCGGCCCGTGGTCGCCACTCAAGAAATTTACTGCCCCAGCGGCCATCAGCTCTACGAGCTATGTGCCCCGCCCACTGCCACTTGATTTTAGCGATTCTGCGGGCTATGTCAGTCACTTTGGTTTGGTTCTCCTACGGATCTCCTCATTTCTGATTCGATCACGCAGGGAAACTCCGAGCATAGCACGCTCCATCGCCCTTTGGGTTCGTTCCTCATTTAGGATGATATAATTTTAAAATGTATTTATTTATTTTAATTTAAAAAAATATTTTATAAAAATACTTTGCTCAGATCTAGATTGTATCTCAAAATATAGTTGGACAACACTGAAGTGTCCCCTAAATGACGTTTACAGGAAGGTTATTAGTTCCGGTTTTTGCCACTTTACATCGTTACATTTTAAATGTTTTTGGACAAATCAAATACTCTGAAGGAAAATAGCATTTATTATGGCCTGTGTTGACGAACCGGTTAAACTTAACAGTGAGGCCCGTGCATTTTACGAGACTTAAATCATATTGATTTTGAACTTAATCCCAAGACTATTAGATTAAAATTCAATGAGGGCTATGGTTTTTATACTTAACAGTTGGCACCCCTGGCGATTGACAGGACCTTACTCTACAGTGGCGCCATCTTGATGAGTGCAAATGCGATAGTCCTCCTACCACTTTAGCGCTCACCAGTTGGTGCTACTGTCTTCGCTACTAGCAAGTGACAGGACCTTACTCTACATTGGCGCTAACTGGTGAGCGCTAAAACGATAGCCCTCATTGTGTTTTATGTCATTGTATTAACATATCAAAATGTTTGTTAATCCAGCAGGTGCAAGCCGAGCGACCGGCAGCGGCCGCGACTCACGCCACGCCCAGTCCGCAATTGCTCCCACGACGGGGGCTCTCACTCACGGTATGTATCCACACAGCTTGTTCATCCCAACTATCCCAACTAATATTATAAATGCGAAAGTAACTCTGTCTGTCTGTCTGTCTGTCTGTCTGTCTGTCTGTCTGTCTGTCTGTCTGTTACGCTTTCCCGCTTAAACCTCGCAACCGATTTTGATGAAATTTGGCATAGAGATAGTTTGAGTCCCGGGAAAGAACATAGGATAGTTTTTATCCCGGTTTTTGAAACAGGGACGCGCGCGATAAAGTTTTTCTGTGACAGACAAAATTCCACGCGGGCGAAGCCGCGGGCGGAAAGCTAGTACACAATAAAGGTCGGACCGCATTTGCGCAGCACTGCACTACACGTCAAAATATTCTTTAGTAAGCAACTGTGCTGCGACACGCAGCAACGCTCATTGCAGCGCCGCCATAATGCTACATACTCCATACAAAATGACTGAAGGAATAATTTAACGTTTTGTGTCGCACCGTGCAATGCCGCGCTGCGTCACACAAATGCGGGCGTCCGATGTAGACCCAGCTATTGAGCTGCGACACGGCACTGCCCGACGTATTATGCAGATTATGCTGCAAAATCATACAAAGAAGAAACTATTATTTAACAGTTTTCTTGCATACATTTTTTAAATATTTTAAGCTTTTAATCGAAGCTGTATGTTCACCTAATCAAGAAAAAAAAAGGTATCAACGGCATTGCAAGAAATACAACGCAACGGTCGCAAGTAGAGATGTGCGTCAGTTGCAATAGGTTTTATATTTGCGCAGAACCTCAAGTAGCCCAAAAAGGTCTATGAGACTCGCTTGAGCCTTTTAGCTATATACTACAACTATATTTTTGTTCCAGCGCGAGCAAATGCTTGAAGCTCAGGATATGTTCCGGAACGCGAATCGCGTCACGCGCCCCGAAAAAGCGCTTATACTTGGCTTCATGGCCGGCTCACGGGGTATGTATCAATATACCAGCATTCATGGCCTGTTAGTATTGTAAGTTAATTTGCAGCTCGATGGACTGACGACCTAAAGACGAAAAATGGTAGCAGCTGGACAATAAAGTAGGATCGTGGTCTTCAGCGCTTCTTGGGAAGAGTATTACGTCCACAGGATTTATTAGTAAGATATATTCAGCAAGATGGACTGACGACCTAAAGTTAGTGGCTAGATGGGAAAGCAACATGTCGTGCTCTATTTGCTCTTTTTAGGAGATGATTATATCCAGTGAACTGCTGGCATGATGATATTATGCGTGTGATTGCGTCTGTACTGTTCTCAGATTTTCATTGCTTATAGATTACATTTGAACCAATAAAAAGTTACCAATGTTAGAAGACATCCCGTCATCGTTGAATATTATCTATCGGGAAAATTTTAGTCACCGTGACAGTATGTTTCTCCATAGATAAGAATAAGTACTATGTTGTCTCTCTTTTCCTCTTTATAAAAGTGCAAAAGAGAAAGATATACTGTTACGGTGACAAAAAGTTACCCGTACGCGTATAACCTTACGCCCCATATTCAATCCGAGTCCAAATCCGGATTGCAACTGTCAAATTTGAATCTGTTTTCGATCAAAAATATCCATTGAATATTTTTTTATGCGTTTACACTTTAATATTGTTTAAATAGTCTTATAAACAATATGAAAAAGTAAAAACATCGAAAACCGTAGATATTTTGACCAAACACATCGATAGTGGAAATATCAATTACTGTAAGGGACAAAACACGACTTTTCAGGAGAGCCAAAAAACGATTTTTTTTTTCTTTATACCTCAATATCTTTTTATGTGATGTTACGATTTAAATAGTTTCTATGGCAAAGTTTCTTAGAATTTTCTGTTCTTTCATAATATAAACGCCAAATTTTCTAAAAATAGGTAGTTTAAAAGATAGCATGTCCCTTACATTAAAAAAACGAGCTTGACTGTACCTTACAATGTTGAAAATTCACAGTATGGAATGTCATGTATGTTGTAAGGTACATTTAAGAATAAACACGACAGTAATATTATTGTAACTTGACAATTTTAACATTGAAACCTGATGTAAGTAGAGGTTGCATTCGAGTATTCATTAACAAAACGAAGAGAAGAGATAGAAACAAGACAACTTAGTGTTCACAAATGCAGTTGGAGGTATCAAATACACATCACCAACAAAACATTTAGTCACTGATGATGCCTACGTCTGCATTTGTGAACAAGTTGTCTTGTTTCTATGTTAGCACAACGATCGCGGAAGACAGAGTGTGTCATCGATTTTCCAATTCTCTTCAACGGCTATGAGTGAGCGGGGAACGATGAGCGGCGTTGAAGCGAGACGGCAGCATACGTCTCCACGGGTGCGCGAGCGACGCAGGCGTACCGCGGCGGCAGCGCGCATGCGCCGAACGTTTGTTCGGTCAATCGGAGCTGGCCCAATTTCATGAGCGGAAGCGGATTGCTCAGAAATCTAAGGCGGGGGTCCAAGTTAAGATTGTGGCGGATAGTCGCCACAGTACTCCCCTCCGCAGACCGTGACTACGGTCGATAAAAATCGGGCAGCCGGACTCTTCGACCGCTGGAAGTCCGCTTAACGTTTTCTTCGGCTGGTTGAGCTGTCTTCTGTACTTCCTTCGACTCATACGCTGGCTTGAGCCTGTCAATGGAGACATTGACATTCTTGGCGTTGACTTCCAAGGTATAGTATTTAGGTTGTCGGTTGACAACCTTGTAGGGGCCAGCGTATGGTGGCTCCAAGGCGCCTCTCACGCGATCTTGGCGAACGAAGACGTGCGAAGAGGTGTGAAGATCGCGTGGAATGTAGAAGGCCGAAGTGGAGTGCCAGGTGGTAGGACGAGGAGCAAGCTTCGCCATGCACGCGCGAAGTCGAGTCGCGTACTGGGTGACGTCAGCTGTCTGGTAGTCGTATCTGGGGCTCAGGAACTGACCGGGCAGGCGAAGTGGTTCGCCGTACACCAGTTCGGCAGGGGACGACTGGAGGTCTTCCTTCCAGGCACTACGCATGCCTAGAAGAACCAGTGGTAGTGCTTCAGTCCACTGTGAAGCTGGAGCGTGGCACATGATTGCCGCCTTGAGCTGGCGGTGGAGGCGCTCAACGATGCCGTTGGCCGCTGGATGGTAGGCTGTGGTGTGGAGATGGCGCGCACCGACCAGAGAAGTGAGAGCCTGGAACAGGTGGCTCTCGAACTGGCGACCACGGTCTGTGGTTACCCGCTCAGGACAACCAAATCTGGCAATCCAGCCAGACACGAGGGCAGCAGCACAGGTCTCTGCGGTGATGTCCTTCAGCGGATACGCTTCAGGCCACCGAGTAAACCTGTCTATGACAGTGAGGCAGTACCTGTAATCACAGGACAAAGGTAATGGGATTGAGAGGCTGGAAGTCATCGAGCTTACGAGCGAGACGATTCGTAATGACTCTCGAAAACAGCTTGTAGACATGGCTCGGAAGTGAGATGGGTCTATAATTCTTCAACAAGGTTTTGTCGCCTTTTTTGAAGAAGAGTGTCACCACACTTCTGTGCCATACCGTAGGCGTTTTTCCTTCGAGGATGACGGAATTGAACAGCTTCTGAAGAGCCTTCAGCCCCTCGGTCAAAAACCCAACTGCGTAAAAATGAACAGAAAAAAGATAGAAACAAGACAACTTAGTGTTCATAAGTGTAGTAGGAGTGGGAGGCATTAAATGCATATCACCACCAAAAAAAGTAATTGATATCCTATATGCATAATATTAACGTAAGGGCCTAATTATGATAAATCAAAAAGTTTTAAATGAAGTAAGGTTCAATGAGTTCAAAAGTTAAAACCAACAGTTTAGGGTAAGGGCTGAATTGTATTATTAAAAGGAATTTACGTCCTTTAAATCATTTGTTTCCCCAAAAGTCGTATTCAGACGACTAAAAATGTTTAAGGTAAGGGACATTTTTTTAAAGATATCAACATTTCAAGTATACCAATCGATAGAGCCGAAAATTCTGAATGCGTTGGTATATATAACTCATTTTGGCCAAAATGTCCCTTACATTAATTGATACTTCCACTATCGACATATTGAAATTTGACAGTTGACGGACGGATTTGGATTAGAATTTAATATAAAAATCCAGCATAGTCATCTGTCATTTTACTAAGCTAATCACAACTTCTATCTTTCCAGATAACCCTTGTCCAAACCTAGGCAACATAGTAACAATAAAACTATCAGAAAACATAGAGAACGTTCTGCAATCGGACGACACCTACCTCACAATGCTCTCCGAAATGCACTTCCAAATGAACTACAACAACGGCCAGTGGACCCGGCTCAAGAAATACCGGCACATAGACGGAATGGTGCCCCAAAAGATACCACCCGGATCTACGGTCATATCGGCGAATAACCAGCAACCAGTTGTGTCTATAGCTAACCAGAGCGTGAGTTAAGTCTTGAGTATACAGTGTCGTATTGTGGTTTTTCTATTGCATTAGATAATGTAACTTTACAACTTAAAACTAGACGAGCAAAAACATGGAATCACCCCATTGTGTTTTGTTCCGAGCGATCTTAAACTAAATGACTAAAGTCCGGTCGCCGAGCAGATAGAATTTCGTCCAATGACCCCAAGCTACCCATCTTTATCGCTCGCATGTAATTATATTGCTGTCGCGCTCGAACACTCACTGCGGCCGCCCGTCGCACAGTCGCGACAGCAATATAATTAATTACGTGCGGTCGCACATAAGGATGGGTAGCTTAGGGTCATTGGATGAAATTCTATCTGCTCGGCGACCGGACTTTAATAGAAGATAAATAAAAATGGTACAATTTTAAAAGTAATATTATAAACTTTAAATTGATACCATAGATACATACATAGTCATTCAGTTCATAAGATCGCTCGGTACAACAAAACACAAGGGGGTGATTCCATTCTTTAGCTCGTAGATGGCGCTAGTTTCTTTGTAGTTTTTAAAGTGTAGCGCTAGATGGCGCTATACATGTATTGCGCTGAAAAAAGGTTTCGTTGTAAGTTACATTGTCTAAGCTTCTTCTCATCTCACACCACTGGGTTCGAAGACGTGTAAAGGACTGAGTTTTAATAGTACGTAACTAAGGAATATGAAGTTTTCGATTTTATAACTGGCTTGAATAGAAGCAAGATACTAGCTTTTTTTTTCTTATAATGTATAGAGAGATTAATAGGAGAGTACAGAATGTACTGTTCTGTTCACCTGGTGATATATGGAGAATTGTATTTTCAACCCAACATTAAATACATCATTGTTTTTTTGGAGCCACGATCGGCGATGAAGCACATCATGTTAGTACGTCTTTATTTTGTTTATATACGAGCTACCACCGCTATGAATGCACGCTCTTTGTAATACACATAAGCTTTAAACTTGCTTTTTAGCAACAGGTATTCTAAAATATCGTAGAGAAGCATAAGAAATATTCAGTTACATCATTAGACTTTTAAAACCTACAATAATCGTAAATGTTTGTCTGTAAACGAGATTTGAATTGCTAAAACATTCTAAATAACCTGGACTGAATTCGCAAGGGACCAAAACATTGTTTTTTGTTAGAGAATAATGCTTTTCAAACATGCATAATAAATTTTGATCGGTAGATGTTGTTATTGATGTTTAAAACATCAGACAGACTCGCATAAGACTTTAATCGGATAACCTAAAATATCGCTACTGTGTGATAAATAAAAATATCGTATGACAGATCAGTTATCGGCGTTGCTCGTAAAATAAATTGGTGGCAATTCGCCAAAATCTTTTCTATGTACCTAATTAGGACTTCTCTTTTTCTCCAATGTTATGTTTGCCATTTAGGCTGGTTTTAGTCACGCTGACGCACGCTGACCGTCAGCGCTGACAGCCGAAATGTATGAAGCGTCGGCGCCGAGCGATCAGCGTCACTCAGGAACGATCCCTTCAATTACATACATATTGATCTGTCAGCGCCGACGATCAGCGAGCGGTCAGCGCGATTCTAAAACCCGCCTTACTATTGAAGGGAGAACCGAATAGATTTCTTAAAACCGGACAACTTTTATTTGTAGACACCACCCCAGGGCAACACACATCGCGATAACCTGAAGATTAAAGCTGCTGCGATGTAGCCAAGTATTCTTCGGTGCTTTTTTTTGCCGTCGCAAAAGTCCGCTCCGTTGACAACGGACCGTTGTTGCCGGAATATAATCACGATGTGTGTGGCCCAGGGATCATAAGGATAAAATATGTCATAACAATGTCACTTTGTTCTTGGTAAAAATATGATACTTAAAAAAGTGTGGCGAATTAAAGTATGTCTTTCTTACTTTTTGTCATCACCACTGGTCATAGCCCATATCAGCAGCATTCACGTGATTATTCTAAAAAAGAAATCACAATACGAGACTGGTGCGTATTCTAAATCATTATACATAGCAATGACTTATTTACTAATATGGACATGTATTTTGTAGTGAATCCTGCAATAAGTACAAATTCATGTTAGTAACGAACCTTATGCTATTGCTTTTAAGCTCTGTAGTTGATCTTGTATAAAATGGTTTTAACTAATAACAGTATACATAATACGTCGAATCTTTTACAGTTCTATAGCATGCGATTTTTTGGAAACTATGTAATATGATTAGTGTAAATTTATTTTTTTTGATTTACCTTGCCTTTAACATAATAGTTATCTAAAGCCCGATCTCTGAGCACGTAGAACTTTGTCCAATGAGCCCTAGCTACCCATCCTTATCGCTCGCGCGTAATTATGTTGCTATCGCGCTCGCACACTCACTGCGGGTGCCAGTTGCACAGTTGCGACAGAAATATAATTACGCGCGAGCGATAAGGATGGGTAGCTTGGGGTCAATGGACAAAATTCCACGTGCTCAGCGACCAGACTATAGTAAATTCGCATGCAATAAATTTTGGGTTTTCTCATATGGTCTTGTCTATGTTTAAAAAAACCGTACCCGTATTATTTTGTGTAAAGTTTTAAGTTGTATAGTGAAAATCAATTCGATAATATCACCGGTTGATTGAGAGAATATCTTTTAGTTGTTTTGTATGGTTGTCATTATTAGTTTTTGTAAATGCTTATGGTTCAGCCAAACCAACGCGTGTAGCCTGCGTGCGCGATGGCGATCAGACGTCGTGTATGAATTTTCAGCAATGCGTTCACATCAACGCGTAATATCATTCTTCTTCTTGTCGTGTCGACAACAAACCTACACAGTGTCAGCCCAAAACTCTGCTACAGGAGTGTCTGTCAGTAGCATTCATTAAATTTTCCTGCGTGCAGTTTTTAGGGCACGACATAATGTGCTTCAACGTCTGGGGAACACAACCACACTTGCACTCCAAGTTTGAACCATCTGAGAATCCCTATCGCTGGCCGTGGCGATCTATACAGCGTCGTTCGGCGATCAGACGTTTCTGATTTTAAAATGGTGGAAAGAAGAACGGTCACGCCCCATACAAAAAAAACCCAGACCCGACAGAAACGAGACATACCTCAGTATTTTTGTCATGTCTTAATTAGTTAAATTATATATTTTTTATATTCGAAATCTATGTATAACACCAAAATATTACCCTTTGTTTTTGTTCAGGCGTCATACAAAAACTAATACAAAATGCCTATTTATCACCAAAAGTGGTAAATGTATGTACCTAAATGTCTATTACAGCTGCTATGGAATGTATCTAGGTGACCTGGAGATACAGCTGGATAATCCGGCTGTATCTCCAGATCACCTAGAAAAATATATAATTTAACTAATTAAGACATGACAAAAAAACAGGTATGTCTCGTTTCTGTCGGGCCTGGGTCACAGATGACCGTTCTTCTTCATCACGGTAAACGTCTGATACTGCAGTGATCGCCATCGCGCACGCAGACTGCACGCATTGGTTTGGCCGAATTTAGTTTACGGTTTAAGATGTTTATTTTATGTAGATATGATCTCACTGGGTGGTCAATAGGCGTGTCGGTATCTAGTGCCAAATTTTTTTCTTGACTGGATAACACTTTTTTTAATTGACTGAAAATTCTGTAGCGAAAAATTAACTTTAGAGTCACAATTGGTGAACGTAGATCCACAGTGATCCTGTTTATATTTTATATCTCAAAAAAGGTTTTAAAGTGCACAAGAAAGCATATTAGATGTTGAAAAACGTATTAAAGTTGCATTTGGACCCCTATAGTTCGAAAATTTCCAGTTATGTTACTTTAATAGAAGCATTTTTGTAATTTTTTGGCATTCATGTAAATTATTACATATGTAGTTAAAAATAACGAAAAAAATGACAATCATTTTCGTTAATTATTAAATCCTCTTGTTTTTGTCGCTACAAATAAAAAAAAATCCAGCAAATACTTGTATATTTTTGGTAATAAAAAATAAGCCTTGTCAGTCAGACGTGGAATTTTCAGCCTTATTGGATACTGCCGTAGTACCAGATTGCTTTGAAATATTATAGTTTATTGTAGCATAGTTTTTCCTATTTTGAAGTGAAAAATGTATTATTCCGGTAAATAATGATACGAAAATAAGTGTATCGCTTTATCTCGCTAATGAATAAAGAAAGAAAACAAAATATTTGAGAATTTAAATGCTCTTGAATTATCTGTTCGAAAATAGCTCTTATAGACAAACTAATAAGCCATTAAATGTGGCAAAAAAACAATGTTTTGTCTTCTCTTTTCATAAACGAAGGCGAGAAAGAGATAAACTTAGAACTTACGAGTGGCTGTACGTAATTGGGCGTGTATATTTGTATAATTTATGCCCTTGAAGCCTTATTCTATAGATAAGTATAAAAATATATTGTATTAAAACCCTGCTTCACCTTCAGCGAAACGTACAGTCGGCGAAATAAATACCATACCATACCGAAATTGCCTTCGAACTTCGAACAACGTGGCAATATTTTGTGCCTTAACTGATTATGTATCAGTACACCAAAGTTTAATAGTTTTTGACCGCACACTAGTTTTTTCTGCAATCACATATAATTTAACCACTTCGGCGGGAAAATTGACGGGCTACTTTGTTTTAACCTATTTTCCACACCGACTGTACTTTTTGCGTGTAACAGAAGCATCCATAAAGTGTACTTTTCAAGTGTTCTTGCTTTAAGTGTTCAATATAATATTTTGTGGTAGGTTTTGCCGACCAAGACTAATGTCAGGCTGATCAATATAATTTAGCTAAGACGGAATTGAAAACAACGTAATTAAGATATCATGAAATATTCTTTACTTTTTAATTTTTATTAACCCGTTAATTGGCAACTGGCAGAAAAACTTTTTGTTTCGTTAGTTTTCATTAAGGTTCAAAATAATATGATAAAACCAGTTAACAGGTTAAATTATGTTCAGAACATGAATGGAAATGTAGCCAAAATCATGTCTTTCTTCTAATTTCATAAGACTGTGCCGAAAAGTAGCTTTTTGTTGTAAACGTGCTTTTTATTCTAAAGTAGACGAGTTAATAAACGTTTTTTTTATTTTAAAAATATAAATTGCAAATATCCTTCAATGTGTGCGAGTGAGAAAGCGATAGTTGATTAGCACTACTAGTGCCTGTAGACAATGTAACATTTCGAAGTCACGTATGTACCTTTAATATTGTAGGTATACTATAAATAAATGTTACACTTTCTGGAGGCTCTAAAATTGTGCATTCGTTAAAAATAGTTAATTTTTAATGTAAATTAATGTATTGCACTTCTTGCACATTATGGTAAGGATATTAATATGTAAAAAATAACTTTTCATTGCCAAATGTTTTTAAACTGTAAACATATTTCATAATTTGAAATTGACAGTTCTTTTTTTCTTCTTCAAGTTAAAAAAAACTTGAACGAATCTCTTTATATTTTTTATTCCACGAACGTTTGTATAAAATAAATGCGACTGAATGTAACCATGGCTTATGTGTAACAATGTTTTCTCTCTTTCCGTCATTATTGAAGAGAAAAAGGGAAAGCATTGGATCGTTTATTTGAAAAAGCACAATCACTTATCATCAATAGTGCTGCAGTTACAGTGAACAGAATGGTATTCCCTCAATGCGACACTCGTGCCTTTATAGTAAAACCAATTTATATAGCAGGTAAATAACACCAATGACTTGAGAGTCCATTTTATAGCAATTAGCTGATAGTGTAAGTAGATTATTGTGATTCATTCAAAAAACGCCTTTCAATATTTAATCTTTAGAGTTCTAAATCGCATACGAATTTGTGATTTGCGTGCGATTTAAACTGTAATGCCTCAATAATACATTTAAAATGTTCTTATCGTGAAAATTAATAATAGTCAATTAAGAAAGTCGCGTACCAATTTAAATTATTTATGTACAGTCAGCATCAAATATTTCGTGACACCCAAAGTAGCCAAAAAGTTCACAACACGTCTTTGTTACTGGGATAAGGTGTGTTGTCAAGTTTTTGGCCACATTGAGTGTCACGAATTATTTGACGCTAACTATAGCTGCAGAAACTGACTAAGGCCCGGTTTCCACCAAAGCTAAGCGAAGAGATGACGTGGAAATAACAATCTGATTGGTTATTGAAATAAATCTCTACGTTTTGGTGGAAACCGAGCCTTAGCTATGCGCTGTACTCGTAGTATATGATAGCTTCGCCTGTATAATAGAAATAATTGAACTTAGTTTATGCAGTAATATACATTATACATTATTATGAATACCATTTCATATGGAAGAAATACTATTCTGTTCACATATTTTTTGTTCAATACATATTGCGGAGTGTACATAAACAATGTTTTTTGAAAAGACAAGTTCCAAGCAATGAATGGATTGTAATTTTTTTTTGTATTATGTTAATTTCGAATAATATGGGGTCCCAAGGCTTGGTGACCAGTATGGTGACATTTTGGCGTTATTCACTTACATCAATGTCCCGTCTAAAATTCTTGGTTTACATAGACGACATAATAATTCACTTCGGAGGCGATAACGATTTGATCACGGTCGAAAACGTGAACGCTTTTACAATATTATACGAAAATGTGCCCTTTTGTATGCGTTACAACAAATTTTCCACGTCTTTTGACGTACGGTCAGGAAATTAAGTTTAGAGCTAATGATTTTAACTTTGTTATTTTCAGCGATTTATACGAATGTAAATATTAGTAAATGGCTTCCAATATGTATTGAAAGTCGGGTGTCTGTAAGCAGAGGTGAAGGCGACGCATCGCATCAAGTTGCGTACCAAATAGGGTCCTAAAAGTTTTAGGCATAAGGTGTATTTTCGCTGGATTTTATGTATTATTAAAACAAAGTCTCATTTGGGTGTATGATTGTGAACCTCTTTGCCTATTGCTTTAGGATCTAAACAGCGTTGTGCTGATGCGTTGCCTGCTCTTTTACTTACTTTCGCCCTTAATGTTAAGTGTTTATGCAGACGAGTAAGAGTTAACTATTTTAGTTTATTCGCGTTAGTTTTACGTTTGTTGTACGATGTGTTTTTCTATAGATATTTAATATTCACCATGTATATAGTAGATAGTACAAAAATATTAAATGAAAATATTTAAAATATAAACGGTTTTTTATTTGAATATAATTTACCTAGTTTCCCTTGAAATATTTTTAGGTACTAATCTGATTTTATCAAAAGCCGCTGTTAAATCCGTCTGTTAGCATTTTGTTGGCAATAAATGACGTTTTACTATTTTTTTTTACATATTTTACTTATTAAAACTTACACTTGCCAGAAAATACTAGAATTAGGACTATTTTATACTTGTATTTCAACTACATTACACACACCATAAGCGGGTTACAGACCAATACTAAGTTAGATTAGCTTAATAATGTATAGTTTGCACACAACTATGGAAGACTGCTTCAACTATGCGAGCTAAGTTAAACTGACTTACGCCCATATTCACAAACATTACTATGAGGTCTCACAGTTCTCGTGGACGCACAGGTAGATGTGAAACGGGGGCGTGGCGCGTGTCTCCGCGATATGCCCAGAAACGAACATCGGCCAGTGGTGCCAGATTAGGCGAATTATCGCCATTTAGGCTACCTTCGGGGGTCAAATGGCGACCAAAAAATGCAAACGGCTACCGGTAGCCATTTAGGCTACCTAGAAAAAAAGATCGGGCTATTTAGGCTTCTTCAGGATTACCTTGGAAAAGGAAATTTTTCATGTAACAAAAGTAACGAAACGTAATATTCACATCCACCTAACACATAATCTAAGACATCCACCGTTCTTTCCATTCGGTCACTCTTTGTAAGAGTGAGATAGAGCTATTGCGTACAATTAGTATAGATATAAGATACTAGCTTTTGCCCGCAGCTTCACCCGCGTGAAATTTAGTTTGTCACAGATCGTCATAAATTATAGCCTATATTATGTTATTCTGGGTTGTAAAGAATGATACTGTAAAGTTTCATCAAATCCGTTCAGTAGTTTTTGCGTGAAAGAGTAACAAACATTTAAACATCCATAATTCCATACACNTTACGCGCGACTTCATATCTATTCTCTTTCTATGATCTGAGGTGACACATGAACCAATCACAAAGCTCTATTCAACGCTGTGCGTTCGATTTGCAGCTTCACTTAAGTAAGCATCGTTTGTGAATACGGGCGTTAAGCTTAGCTCTTGGTCTCTCGCATTACTAATGGAAAAAGTTTATTTATCTTGCGTTATTTATTTCTTNCGCGCGCGCGTGTTTGTGTGTGTAGTTGTCAGCTGATTGCCATGTTGTTTTCTTAAATCTTGTATGTACTCGGCACAAGTCAGGTAGTGACGTCATATGAAAATGTTGCCAGAATGAGTACTGACCAAACATTTTCTATCTCTTTTTTCATACGTCACCATGGGCGAGTTAGAAAGAGATAAACAGCTGTTTGTCATTAATGTGTCGATTTGATATGTATTTCTATTAGCAATTTTTGTATACTTAGCTCAAAAAATTAGGCGAATTAGGCTACTTTGAGAAACAAAAAATATTAGGCGATTTAGGCTACTCGGTAGGAAAAATTAGGCGAATTGAGTTAGCTGATATCTGGCAACCCTGACATCGGCCGCGACGCCAGGTTAGTCGCGATTCAGTCGTACTGAGGAAATGTTCTCCGATATTGTTGGATAATGCGTCGTAACGTGCAATAACATAAGTGAAACGAAGAACTACAGGAACAATGAAGTCATTTACCACATGTAAGTATTGCAAATCCATTGGTATTTTGCTTATAAATAAAAAAAACTAAACATTTTTACGAACGAATTCAGTGCCGTGACATTTACTGCGATATCGAAATTAGTGGTGATAAAAATTCAAACACGTTGTACATTGACGATTTAGTTAGCAACCACTTTATGTCATGCGTAACTACTGCGCAATGTATTTTATTTCTTCCGATATCCACTGACGCGTGAAAATACACAGTACGGCCGCATGTGCCGGTCGTAACATAGTGCAGGGCTCGTGTTCTAATACGGTTTCCTATTATCGATAAATAGAAGTAAATTATTATTTTCTATTTTCTAATTTTGAATGAAAAAATCATGAGTTGCTTGCGATTTTTAAGTTTTTACAAAAACAATAACAATAGTAGAAGGGATTAGTAACTGTCAACTATGTAATTACTATAAGAGCTAGTTGAAAGCCTAATATAGGCATTATTTTTGATAAACATAGGCGGTACGAATTTCGCCATAATTAAAAAGTTAATGCGCGATAGTAGTTAATAATAATTACAGTGATCCTGTTATTATTATTAAAGTAAATAATAATATATTACCAATATTGTAAATACTGGTAAAAATCGCAAGTACCTACTTAACCCATGACTTTTCATACAAACTTTGTCAGTCTATAACTTCTATACTCCATCGATAACGACATTGAGCTTTGGTTGGGGTAAATTAATGTAAGGTAACTTCATTTAGTCCCAATAATTGATTCTGAGTTTTTCTTCCATACAAAATGGAACTGACTCCTTTATGCAAAAATCGTTAAAGAACATAAACATAACGTATAATAATAAAAAGGTTTTCATACAAGCATTTTTTAAACCAATTTCGAGCCTTGCCCCCAGGATTTAAAGTATCGATATCTTATCGACTCCATTTTATCTTTCTTCTCTCTAATTGCTTTTTTCAAAGTGTGCGTCACGTCACGCGGCCATTGATTGGCCATAAGGCACGCCTTCTGGCCAATCACAGCACTTTTAAGCCGGTTGCACATGTTGTCGTAGACTCTCAGTCGCTTTGTTTTTACACAGTTGAATGTGTGTGTGGGAGCTGTGGTGGGGGAAATGTGGGGACACTGGTTCTCGTTGTAGTTACGCGCGACTTCATATCTATTCTCTTTCTATGATCTGAGGTGACACATGAACCAATCACAAAGCTCTATTCAACGCTGTGCGTTCGATTTGCAGCTTCACTTAAGTAAGCATCGTTTGTGAATACGGGCGTTAAGCTTAGCTCTTGGTCTCTCGCATTACTAATGGAAAAAGTTTATTTATCTTGCGTTATTTATTTCTTAGGAACAGGAGGCGCGACTGTAGGAGCGGGGGTGGGGGGCACGCCAGGAGGGGGAGGGGTCAGAGGGGGCGCTGCGGCCGCGGCGCTGTACAGGTGACGTCTGTACAAATCCACCAGGGGGAGGCACCTGAACACGACTGTAACAAGGAAATAATTAGTGCAGTGTCTTGTCTTCACATTTAGTTTGGAAGATGGAGATTCCGGTTAGAGATGACTAGATGAGACGTATTTACTAGAACAGATCCACACACTAGGTATTTTACAGTACTAGGCGGCACCTATTCCAATTTTTTAAATTACACGATTTTCGACCCTACCAAGAAAGTAACAGAGGTAATGCGTAATCCGTGGTCGTGTATTACGCGCACCGAGTATTTCTCGCTAAGCTTATGTGCGAACGTAGAGATTCACTCCGTCTCTGTCCGACCAAACAAATTTGAGCGCGACGAAGCAAACGCACACAAACGTATTCAAACCATATTCATGTAAATTAATGTAAAAAAGAAAAAAATATGTAAATATTTTTATGAAATTCATATCTTTTAAATACGCTAACTTTTAAGTTGCCAGTCCTAAACCTGTTGAAGTATGAAGGGAGGAATTATTATTCAATTTCAAATTGCATTATTCATACTACGGTTGTATCTTTTCAAAGAAAATTGTATTTTAAAGTCATATTACGTGGATTAGTCCGCACTAGTCGCGTCAAGTATGCTAAATTATTACGTACTAGGTGGAATAGGTATTTGGATCGAGTATTAATAAATACTAGGAATAGGTGCACCTAGTATCAAATTTACCTAGTATAACCCATCTCTAATTCCGGTTTATAACGTTTTAAAGTTCGGCCAAACTAACGCCTGCGCGATAGCGATGGCGATCAGTAGAAATCAGTAGGATCGCCATCGCTAACGCGCACGTGGGCTGCACGTGTTGGATTGGTCAAACCTTTATAAAATAGAAAATTTGATCAAGCACCCATATTTATTATTGCTTGACGTAAGCTTCCTACAATGTCACTCGTGGTTACAGGGCCATACTAAAAATGTAAATGTAAATGACGGCCGATGGGGCAGAAAGGTTCTGGAATGGAGGCCGCATACCGGAAAACGCAGCGTGTGACGTCCACCTACAAGGTGGAGTGACGACATCGTAAAGGTAGCAGGGAAGCGCTGGACGCCGGCCGCTACCAACCGGGCAGCATGGAAAGCATTGGGGGAGGCCTATGTTCAGCAGTGGACGTCCTGTGGCTGAAATGATGATGATGACTAAAAATGTAAGGGTGCCCTCGGTAAATCCTTTTTTATAGAGTATTAACTTTCCATGGAACTAACTCTACCAAGTCAGTTACAGTTGGACAAAATGTTAATCTTGTACGAGGAGACGTGGACACTGCCTTGATTTTTACCATAAAATAGGGGATTACCTATTTATGGGATACTTCATATCGTCAGAAGACATCATTTTGACATTGCCACAAGTACCACGCTCTCTGAAATGTAAGTGATACGTATCGCGGTCATAAAGAATTATAATTAAGCCCGGTTTCCATCAAAACGGAGATGAGAGATGTCTTTTGAATAACCAATCAGATTTTCGGACCGAAGCTGAGCGGAGAGGTGATGTGGAAATACCATTCCACATCACCATCAATTTCAGCCTTAAGACGTCCACTGCTGAACATAGGCCTCCCCCAATGATTTCCATATTGACCGATTGGTAGCGGCCAGTGACTTCCTGCTACCTTTATGAGGTCGGTCCACCGTGGACGTCCTGCACTGCGCTTTTTGAAATCTGATTGGTTATTCAAAACAAATCTCCATTTTGGTGGAAATCGGGCCTATTACCGAACTCGTTAAGGATAACCAAAGTGACCGACATACTTAGTTCGCAGAATTGCTAAAATCAAGTGGCAGTGGGCGGGGCACATAGCTCGTAGAGACGATGGCCGTTGGGGCAGAAAAGTTCTCGAGTAGCGACCACGGGCCGGAAGACGTAGCGTTGGTGAAGGTTGCGGGAAGAGCCTGGATGCGGGCAGTGCAGGACGTCATTTGGCTGAAACGAACGAACGAACTTACCGAACAAGAACACGACTTCAGGCACGAAGGTGACGAGGCTCCGGATGCCGTCGCGCTTGGTCTTGACCACGAACTCGTAGATGGCCACCACCAGCCCCATCACGATGTAGCCCAGCGTGTACCACACGTAGATGTCTACCAGTAGCGCGTTCTCCTGGGAAGGGGATTCAGATCTATAAATTAATAAGTAAGTATGTCTTTTATTTATAAATCAACTAGCTTTCCGCTCGCGGTTTCGCCCGCGTGGAATATCGTTTGTTAAATTTTCTTTACTATAAACCTCACGGAGCCCGAGACCTTTCCAACGAATGCAAAACCGTGGAAATCGATTCGTGCGTTCTGGAGTTTTAGCGTCAGGAAGGAAAACCCGACATTTTTATATAAAAACTAGCTTTCCGCCCGCGGCTTCGCCCGCGTGGAATTTTGTCTGTCACAGAAAAACTTTACCGCGCGTCCCTGTTTCAAAAACCGGGATAAAAACTATCCTATGTTCTTTCCCGGGACTCAAACTATATCTATGCCAAATTTCATCAAAATCGGTTGCGAGGTTTAAGCGGGAAAGCGTAACAGACAGACAGACAGACTGAGTTACTTTCGCATTTATAATTAATATTATATTAATATTATATATTATATTATAGTTGGGATAAATGTCTACTATATAGTAGACAAAAGAATCAGAACGTTTTCGTTTTCATGATTTTGGGAAGTATTTGCCCAACTGAATGCGTTCTGTGGTCTGCGGTCAGGTCTAGGAGCAAAAAACAAAGATAAAAGAATAAATAAATCAATGATTGGATATTTTGAAGCAATAAATCTTAAATGGAGAGTAAACTTCGCTCACTGCAACTCCTATGTAACCAAGATCTACATTCTACAGCTTTGACCGCCAATAAAAACCCATCAAACGTAGGTAGATCAAGTTTGTCCAGGGGGAAAGTGAAACTGTCATCGGACCTTTGAAGTTAAAAATCATCTTCTTTAGTGCGAGGCAGATGCCATCATCATCATTTCATCATGAACATAGGCTCCCCCAATGATTTCCATAAAGTGCAAAGCAGATGCCAGGTGACAAACAAATGTCCAAGGTACTGATTCACTCACAAAGACCGAAGCCAGCAGCAGCAGCAGGTTGGCCATCTGGAACAGCGTGACGAGCAGCTTGCGCAGTGAGTCGGCAAGTTCACGCATCTCGCAGTACACGTGCATGCACGTGTCGCTCGACATCAGGTCCATCATGCAGCCCAGCTGGAGTAGCAGGTGCAGTCAGCGTCAAATAGTTCGTCACACCCAAAGTATAGCCAATAAGTTCGCAACACGTCTTTGTTACAATGAGGGCTATCGTTTTTATACTTAACAGTTGGCACCCCTGGCGATTGACAGGACCTTACTCTACAATGGCGCCATCTTGATGAGTGCAAATGCGATAGTCCTCCGACCACTTTAGCACTCACCAGTTGGTGCCACTGTCTTCGCTACTAGCAAGTGACAGGACCTTACTCTACAGTGGCGCAAACTGGTGCGCGCTAAAACGATAGTCCTCATTGGAAAAAGGTTGTGTTGTCAACTTTTTGGCCACTTTGGGTGTCACGAACTATTTGACGCTGACTGTATAAAGGAAATTGCATTAAAAAATAGTGTGTGTGGGAAACGAGTAGACGAATTTTTATAGAGCTAAGTGCATTATCCGTTTGAAAGAAATTTGCACGTTGGTAGCTGTAGGTGCTATTGCAAATACTAAACAGAATTTAACTTATCTACTTACTTATTTATTTAATATACAAATCTAGCTTACTCTATGCTCGAACTAAATGTAGGTTTGATGACTGTCGCCAAAGTAACAATTATTTTTATTAATTTATTGAAGGTAGTTATTTAATTCTGGAATTTCAATAATACCAATTTGAATTTGGGGCGAACGTGGGTAGGAGCGTGGGTGAATGCGAGGGAGAGTCGCATTCCAGTGAGCTGCGTAGTTAGTTCAATCGGGTTGTAAAGAAAAAAAAAATGCGGGTAGGTGACGAAAATTCACGCGCCCAAGCAGACGACGCGCATCTTTTCAGTCTGCCCGCGACCATGACTCGTGCAACCGAGTTGAAACGTTAGGAGGGTAAATATCTGTTTACTTTTATCAGTGTTTTATTGCAAAATCCCATAACAGTGATAATTTATAATAAGCTACCCGTTATTCGCTACCAACATAGAAAAGACATTATTGAAACGATTGCAACTTACAAAGTTTATGATAGATATGACGATGACAGTGCTCTTCCGAGGAATGCAGCAGCAGGTGTTGTCATCACATGGCAGGAGCATGGCCAGCTTGTCGGTTATGGAGTCCAGGGACAAGGATACTGTTGGGTTTTGAGGCTCCATCACCTGGGATATGAAGTTTCTCTTCTTCAAGGTAGGCCAGACCTTTCAGTAAACTTACACACAGTGATTTTTCTTGTTATAAGGTAGTTGTTACGTAGGTAATCTTATTTTTTTTAGAAAGAATGGAACTCGTTTTGTAATGAAGAGCGAAGTTACAGTTTACAAGGTGTTTTATATTTTTTAGATGAGGATTTTATTACGACAATTTGTCATAGTGTTTTTCTGTCAAACATTTTTGTCTTCTTTGCGTTTTACGTCGAGAAATCATTATCGTATTTCAGAATGTTTAAGTTTTAGGGTTTATTTTTCAGAATTTGAAAACACAATTCTTGTATTTATTTTGGTTTTTATTATTTACAGGTAAGCTAAATATGCAAAGGGAAAATATCATATATTTATTTACGTTCTTTTTTACCTTTTTCTCTGTGGAAATTCTTTTTCTTTCTAAATTGATTACATGTTTTCGAGTTACGACTGTCAACTATAAAACTAGGTATTGCCATAATATTCTGTCAGAGTAAAACTGAATTTATTTGCACTGAAAAGCTTAAAAATCGGCGGAATGTATCGCTTTATTCTGTTACTAGTTTCCCTGAATCTCGGAACCACGCTTTGTGCAAGTGAGAGCAGTCCGGAGAATGTTATCGACTCTGGTAAGTCTCCTAATTAAGAACATCTTGATTGACCATCTTTGGGGTGAAGGATGAACTCTTAGAATGAACTTCTCATTCCTCTTGCCATACTTTCGCTCCATGCTTTTAATATTTCGTAGCTATAAGGTATTCCCTTGGTTTTTGGCAACTCTTTTTCTTTTGCTATCCGAGCATTAGTCAGACTTATGTTTAGTCTATCCTTGTTTGTTTTCATGCCGACGACTGATTCTTCCCCTCTCTCTTATTGTAGCCAAATTATATCCTTCAACACCTGAACCTGAACACGCTTCCCAAATAATCGAAAACACCATAAGTAATCTGGAATCAGTGGCTGCCATGGCAGCAAAACTAACACGCGAAGGAATCCTCCCCACGGAAGAAACTGAAAAGCATTACGATCACATGATTGAGACTCTCGCAGAACTTATTGAAATGGTCAAAGACCAGAATAATGCTTACAAATTCCACAAAGCTAAGGGCATCGATAGAATCATCTTCCATAATATGGATATTCCATATTCCAGACTGAGAGGACCGTTGCTTGTGCTTCTAAAAGTTCTTTTCGAAGTCGTCCCGACGACTACAGATGCGTTTATTCCTATTTCTACAATCGACAAGTTGTTAGATATATTTGAAAACGATGACAATCTAGCGATGAAAGCTCATGCTTTGGATATACTCTACATCTGGTTGCCAGAAAACCCTAAAGCGCAAGTCAGGGTCATGAAACTCAAAGGCTTGGAACCGTTTTACCATCAGGTTTCTAAGTTGGACACGTCAGTTATTTCTATTCTTCTAGATTTATTTAATACAATACTAGAAGAGCATATCAAGGTACGAAATGTTGATAAGCAAATGACTAAAGCTGATTCTGATAAAATTCAGCTTTACCGAAGAATCGGCCTGTTGGAGCGCATGTCAACGCCTGCTGTATGTAACGGATTAATGAAAATTTTTGAGAACACCTGGTCTTACGTCACTGATGACAATGACGTCATTGGCCCAGTTTTGGATCTAGTAAAGAATATTAAGCCGTATTGCATGAAAGTCTTGAGAGGCCAAACTAAGGCTACGGAACTGTTCCAAGCGATTTTAGATTATGTCCAAGATGGAAATAAAAAGGAGTATTTAGAGAATTTAAATGTTAATATAACTGATATGAAGACAGTTTTAGAAGATTTCATTAGAGAGTTGAAGTATACAGTGAAGGATGAGTTTTAAGATTTCAGGTTAGGTGCCGTTACGTATTAATTTAATTGATAGAGTCGGGTTTTATTTATTGGGAAATACTTAAAACTGGCGAAAGTAATAAAACAAAGATAAGTTATTAAGTTTCACCTTTATTTTAAGAAAGTTACCTACACAACCAAACCAAAGTTGTAAACCAAACTTTACAGGGCCAAATAGGTTTTTAGGCAGTAAAGTGCTCGCTTGAATTTCTGAAACTTAAACCAATCACAAGTCCTATACTTTACCTACAGATTTTTACTGTACACACTTATGCCATCTTATTACCATGGGTAGTTTCCTATTGCAGATTCCTTGAACTATTTCAATAGTTTTGATTCCCCATGCTATAAAAACCTCGCGTAATCGACCCCAGTGTGTGGTCCACCGCAGTCGAGGGTGCGCCCCGTGACTCTATGCTCTATGGCCGATTGTGCAATGATTTATTATGATGGCAGTGTTGAATGGAGGGTAGAGCGGTTTAGGGTGGCTAGGTAATTAGGTTATCTAGCTCTGCTTTTTTAGTTTTTGGCACATTCTTTAAGTATGTGCGTAGTTAAATAAAATTCTTATCGAAACGGCACATATTTCTTTTGGAAAGTCATTCTGATACAATACAAACCGCGTTGTAGATGCTCAACTGCACTGAAATTTGAAAACTATATCTCCGAGTTCCGAGAGGCAAACCCTTACCAACAGAGAGAAAATGATTTTTTTTAACTTGTTACAAATTAAATAGGTGCAACTTTCAATCGAATTTAACTATTAAACGTTACCTAATTCATTCATTCTGTGATCAAAAGATTTTGAATAAAAGTTGTAGATATTCAAGTTTCATAGTGACGAATTGAAAGTCTCGTCACACAGTCACGTCAAGTATTTACGCAGATAATTTATTGTGTCGATTTAAATTTTAAATCGATTCAATTTAAGATGTCGATTATTAATGACTGACGAAACCACAAATTCAATGCAATTCGGTTAATAGATTCGATCGATTCATTGCGTCATTAATAGCGGGGACAAATCGCGCGCCATGGGTGGCGGCCATTTTGTTTTGTGTCACTTTTTCGCGCGCTTCCTTCCGCGGGAAGTCGCATCATTAGTGTTTTTTTTTTTCAAATGAGGGTTCCAACCGAGAATGGCTAATAAAGTTTCTTGCATTTAGCCCAAAGAAGTTATGTGTCAATTTAATTTAAATATTATTTTCATTTATTTTAAAATAATTTTAGTTCCCATCGTACCTACTTATTTTGGTGATCGTTTCGCACTGGGGAAAACGAAGACGAAATTAAAAAGTTTACCTTCTCCTTTTTGCAATAAATGTTCAATTTAGCACACTTTATTTTGCGTGGGAGTCATACCAAGGTGCACAGAGTGGCAAAAGTCACAAAGGTCGACTACACAAACACAAAAATTGAATCAAATCGATCACCTTTTTCAGCTCGTAAAAAAGGCGCGCTTTAAACTGTCACTTGTCAAAAAACATGGCGGACAACCTGCATGGCGAATTGCGCAAAGGTTCAAGTACTTGCTGTGGGAATAATTTTTTTTACGTTTGTAAGTCATGAATGAACATTGTTGTGTAATGACCGCGGTAAATATCCCATTTGTATTGTTAACTTAATCTTTACGAATTTGGTTGCATTTGTAGAGTAACCATACTGCACCGATTGTAGAGACAGTGCACGAAGTATTTTATTACATTTTTGCTGATAGGCTACATGTTATTTAAGGTGCAATTTATTTTATCAACCAGACATAAACTGTGATGTCCTAGCCATGACATAATTGTTTCGTACTCTACTTACCTACGGAAGGCTTTTGTCCAGTTGTGCACTAGGTTGAAAAAAAAAACAGTCTAGTACTCTTTTATGTACACATATACAAATTACTTAACTGTAACAACAAATTACAGTCCCTTTTCTTTTACTTACTCGATTCTCAGGGGTGTCTTCTGATCTGAACTCTTCTGTATTATAATTTGTGTCTTGGGATTATTCCATAATTTTCCCAGATGTGTTGTCACCATAGTGTACACCCAGGTAGCTGGTAGCCAGCGGGGGCGTGAAGCGTGATGCACCTGAACCGGTTCCCACACCGGACAATTGATACAGGCTATTTGTTGATGCTAATTTATGACTTAACTGTATGACATTAATACCTTTCATTACTTTTACTGAGACATTTCTATCTGGCTGAAAAATTCATTAGGGCCCAGTGTCTAAAAGTATGAGTTTGCCTGGCCCCATAAATGTCGTCAGTTATCTACGAATCTACCCAAACACTTTTGACAGATGAAGTTTTGACACGACTTTAGATAGCACCATAATGTCATAAAGTGCGAGCCTCCCCAAAATTGGTAATACTGACTGACCGATGAAAAGTAACTTAAGTATTTGAGTTAAAAATTACACATCTTCTTTCCCATAAAAAAATCTTTAGTAGGAAAAGTATTTGAGTAGTAGTAAAAATATGCCGTGGAATCCAAAATTCGACAAAACCTTCGTCCATTTAGCAAACTAACCCGTTTCGATTGTCGTAGCTGTAAAAAATAACACTGGCATCAATGGACGCACCCGAAGGATCCAAACAACAAATGTTTACATTGACCCTAGTCATTAATATCGTATGCTTCTGTCCATACTCATTCAACAATCTCCACCTGCGACTCAGAATACAATTTTTTGAACCAAAAAACATAATTTCTTGGTTAAAAAAATCTTTAAAAGATTTAGCTTCGATACGCTCAATAAATTATCTATTCAACGAATTTGTTAGATTTGTAGGCGGGTTAGAAATTGATTCTGGTCTATTTGTTAAAGGGATGATAGGTATTATAGTAAAAAACAAGGTGACACCTTCACGCCGCGGTATTTGTCCTTTTTATATCGTGAGAAATATAAAATTTCATCCAGCGAACTGCAGTTTTTTTCGTAGCGCCCAGCAAAATAGCAAAATCTTTTGACTTTTAATTCACACACCGAGTTTTTGAGTTCAGTGAATCGACAGAACAGCAAAGCCATGGAAAAAACTCGTTCAGCTTTTTCAAAACTTGAAAATTTTCCGAGAAGTTTTTCCTGTTTTTCTTTCCATACAATTAAAAACGAGTCAAACCTTTTGAATTTATGCGAGACGAACAGAAATAGATTTTTATGTAGGTATTTTTCTATGGTATTTTTGCTTAAATGTAAACTTCTAATAACGGAAGTGACGTCACTTAAGAACTCGTGCTGTGCGCAATGACAACATCCCATGCAACTTATTAATAAACGCCTTTACACATTCGCAAAATAAAACGACTGCAATCCAATGTTCAAAAATCTTCTTTGCGGTTCCAGAATTGTAGAGTCGCGAAGTTTTCGTACAAAATTCCTTTATAATAGGGTTCCTCTAACTGCAAAGTAAACTTTGTCAAAGACGTATCACGCTGTGCTAGTAAACGGACTTCCGAATTTCTTTAGATTGAAATGTGGGGCAGTAGTTACGTGGGAAAGTAGCTAATTTTGTAATAACGACGATATTTGGACAATTATTGTTGAAGGGCGTGATTTATAGTTTCTATTCGACTGGGCATAATTATCTAGAAAAGCTCTTAACACGAGCAATTGACACGTTGGTGAGTAGGTATTTAGGTAAAAAATATTATGCGGCTTATTTGATTTTCATCTCCTTGCACAAAAAAAGAATAGGGACACTGAATTATTTTAGGGAAACCATAAGCTTCCTGAAAAATAGGGTTTTGATGAAAGTTTGTGGTTTGAAAGCTGAATAGTGTAGGTACATCTTATTACTATAAACTGTTGTCAGTAAACTACTTAGGTACTACTACCATTCACAAGCATATAAGTAGTATCTATACAGATGTTACGGTTATTATTATAACATAAGTTAAGCATCCATAGAAAACATGAATGATTCGTAATAAAATAAATTTTATTGACATCATTTCGCCTTCGTAGCCCAAAGCTCGATTTCAAATACGATTCATCATCCATTCTTATAAAACTCCCTTCTTACACTAAAAAAAACTTGCACAAATGGACACTGAAGTACGGACTTCCGTTCTTTAAAGTAAAAAGGAAACAAACAATTTGTCCTTCTAAATATTTTGACTTTTGCCTTTTATTTGTGAAGATACACACTTGCACTTTCAAAAGAATTTCGAGAAATGTAACGGACAATAACAAATCGTTGTTACAAAGAAGCGAATTATAATTCCTATCTACCTACTAAAAAATAGGTTCATAAGTAAGTACTTAGGTACTTAGAACTTTTTCTTTGTTTAAGGACCTACACTTAAATATCCGTAGGCCCAGGTTCTCCAGACACAAACCTGAGACACAAACATAGAAAAATCTCTCATGTAGTTTTTTAACTGTAGGTCAACTTTTGTGTAGAAATAAATTGCTACGGAGAGCAGGTTCCGTCGCATCAACATGAGTGAAGCTTTTAAATGACTATTGTATATACCTATACGTATTACATATTTATCAACACAATTTTTTCATTTACCTACTCATCATTTACAACCTATTAGATATAATAACACATAATCGTGGTTTAAACTATCCTGAAAGTATATAATTTATGTATCCTGAAAGTTTTCCCTTTTCTTAGAATCCATGTGATAATGTGTGAGATAGTTTTAAAGGTTTATTATTAGTTGTAAAAAACTACTTACAAACCTACTCGTAAGTTTGAGACTCATTTTTAACATCAAACAAACGAAAAAACCATACTCTGTTCAAGTAGAAAAGTAACTGAAAAATTATGTAATCCTAATTACATTCAGGCCTCACCCAACCTCTGTTTCTGGGTCATACAGATATTTAATCATTTAAATTATGATGCCTTTATCCTCCGGCTCTATACAGGAGTTTATAGAATGTCGTAAGAAATACTTGCAACATCATTGTGGATTAGTAGTAGGTAAGATGTTCTATTAAATACGAGGGGTGTTCAGAAAGTAATGAGGCGTTGTCGAGGCAGTGTCCTTTTTAGGCCTTTTTGGAGAGTCAAGAAAATCATCCGACTGGTCGCGTTCAGATGAATGTTATTCCTAAACTGTAATTTGAGGAGGAGCCTGACTCTCGTTACACAGGTTAACCTTATACGAGAGCGGCACATATCTTGTAATTGTAAAGTGTTTATTTAATAAAAGTATTTTAATTTTCATTTTCAAACAAAATGGTGAACTTAAATGAATTTTTTAACAGTTTCTAGTGAAGAATTAAGCTACATGCTCAATTTTTTTCAGATTTTTGTGAGGGCTGGAAATATCCCATTCTAATTAATCCCATTACTTTTTGATCACCCCTCGTAACTACATACGTAAAGTAGCTTTGGTCATATTCATGATCTCAAAATAGTCATAACTTGAGTGTAAGTAAGTAGTTTCTATTCTGAAAATATTTAGCATATTAAACTCGACTACTGTGTCCAATTTCAGCTAGTACAATCAACAGCAAAAGTTGATGATGACTGTAAAATAAGGCAAATGTATCGAGTATTAGTTTAAATCATTAATTCTGTAGTAATATCAAAATGTATTATTTACTTGTGTGCTAAGTAGATTTGGTTATTACATAGTTATAGTTAAGACGGGGTTTCAGAAGTTGCAACCTCTTTAAGCTGAAGGAGCTGAAAGTAAACTTCCTATTCGATTAAGTTCGATTCAATTTCAGGCTTTTTTTCTTGTAAATGATCCAAATATTATGACTAATCACACTCTTACGTTTGATAGAGTTTAAACATGAGAACACCACTTATCTTAGTTGGCTATTTCTCATCGCCACGGTTCTCATCGTCACCTTCGTGGCGAATTTTATTTCTAACTTATTTCAACTTTTTGTAAACAAAAATTGTAGCGCTTGTTGTGAAGATTGTATTCTCAGTAAATCAGGCAAATAGTGAGTCTCGTTTGGAAGCTTTAACGTTTTGAATTTTTTGATGCCACGAAAGTGATTCTGTACATCNACACCACAGTACAACAGTATTACAGTGTCAAATTCCGGCAACATTTTGTATTTATCAAACTTGAAGTGTTAATGCAGTAAGATGATCTACTTCTAAAACTCCGGTTTAAAACAGGTGTGTTAGTTAACCAAGGTTTCAGGCTTTATGTGTCGTCATGAATTTCACATGGTGAACCGCACAGACAACCCCTGAATCCCTCAGGACGTCTCCAGACAGGTGTATTGAAGGTTACTAAGCAAAGTTTTTATTTGATTAGACACAAGTGTTTGATCGTAATCTCATCTGATATTTAGATGCAATAAAAAAGTTCCAGTCCCCAATTTTAATATTCTTTTTTCAAATATTTGAATAAAAAAACCTGCAAAAAGTTATTATCGTTTACTTAAAAAACATAACGCACCTTTTTGCATTCGCTCCGTCAACTTTGAAGCTCAGTACCACAGATCACAGATATCTGAACAGAAATTGTTTAAATTTTAGAGGTAGAAAATATTGTTCAAGCAAGCGACGGTATGTCTATGGATAATCACAAAAAGTTACGTATTTTTTTCGCGGAGCGACGATCGACCTATCTCACCTCCCCAATGGTCGAAGCGCGACTTACGTTAACCGAATAGAACGCTGTGATTGGTTGCTGGTGTTCGGTTTAACGGCAATCTTGTATTATAACTCAAAATTTTAGGTACCTAAAATCGTGTGACCAACGTATTTCGCTTTCCCAATTCAAAATAATTATAAGAAGAAATTTTTTTGACTATTGTGTGGAAAGCATATTTAATTACGATGATTTTAGTATATGCTGCACACAAATTGAATGAAAATTGTGAATGCAGTAACCAAATGTTTCATTGCAACCGAAGGTGTGACACGATGAGAACGCGAAAAATGACCCCGTTTTTTATCGTTTCATGTGATTTTTTCGTATTATTTTTGCTTCTATTACGATAAAATTTATTTTGTATGTAGCTAAATAGATATTTTATCATCTGATTTCAAAGTTATTGTTCTAACTTATACCGTTTATGAACTATTATTGTGTGACCATCAAATTTGAGTGTAAATGAGAAGTACCCAGTTGGGGAAATATTGAAAGCTGTATGCTATCATACGTATTAAAATAAAATAAGTTAGTTTTTTTAGATAAAACTGATTTCTATCTATTCTTGGTTAGGATCGATATATCGATAGATATTAAGTAAAGTACACAATTTATTTAAAAAAATATTTATTAAAATGTCTCTTCGCATCATTAAAATACATGGATGACTTGCACATATTTTAATATAATTATTATTATGTACAAACAGTAAAATATCTACAAAATTCATAACAAAATACGTAGTTTTATATTATTTACAAGTCTCTATAATTTTTCACTTCTTGGTCCCAATTGAATAATATGTTCATTTATAATTATTATTCTACATATACCAGACGGGTAAAGCGTTTCTTTTTATAACAATACATTTTATTTAACTATCTAAAGACAAGACACAATTTTGATTTGAATTGCTACATTTCAATTGATACAATTTTGCAGTATTAACTTTTATTGTAACGCTGACTTGAGAAAACGCTCCAACTATAAATATTTAGAATTTTCCAGACTACCTATTAGTATCCATATAAATAAGGAAAACCTCCAACGTGTTGCACAGCCGACAACGGCACAAATACTGGCATCATCCTCTCCGCCTGCAAGTAATGCGTCCTCGTATGCTTTTTCAAATGGTCCCGCCTCCCAAACTTCTTCCCACAAGTGGGACACGGAAACGGCCGCACCCCAGAATGTATCCTCTTGTGCCTGGTCAACTCCTCGTTCCTGGTAAACGTCTTCCCGCAATTATTCTCGTCGCACTTGTAAGGCCTTTCCCCAGTGTGAATTCTGATGTGCCCTTTTAGCTGACCGTTATTCGAGAACCCCACTTGGCAATGCGGGCACTTGTACTTCTTCGGACGCTGTTTTCTAGCGTTTAAAAGCTTCGCTTCGTTCTCTTGCTGAAGAATCCTGGCGTACTCCAGTTCCATGGCATATCCTTGCGCTAGCGATTCTAATAGTAAAGGGTCAGTCGGTGGGACTCCTAACGCTTGAGCGATGTCTGCTGCTGGGAGGTAATCAGCCATGTAAGGATTGTACACATTTGGATGAGGCATTACGGTTGGTGGAGGGTTTGGAGAATACACTGTTTCCACTGGAACAGCTTTGGCGGGTTTTTCAGTCTTCAATGTCTTCTCCGGTTCTTGTAACAGCCTATCGCAGCACATGGTTAAACTTGCAACAGGCGATTCTAAAGTTTCTGGTGTTACTTTTTTGTCATCTCCAACGTCGTCAGTCGTCGTAGACACTGTAGCGTCTTGATGAATGTTTTCAGGTTTCTTGAAAGTCCCGCGGATTTTGCGTAGACGATTCTCTCGTTTAGTCTCATCCAGTTTCCTCTTCTTTGTTTTAACATCTTCCAAATCTGTCGTTTCACTCGTAAAAGTCTTCGGCGTTTCGATTTTCTTCTCACTTACATCCCAAGGCCTGAAAAGCCTGGAATAGTTCTGCTCAACGGACAACATTGTTAACTCACAAGGGTGTAGTCACTCGCGATCGAAGTCACTGACTGCGCCCTTTTTCATTTCAACAACTTTTATATACATTTCTTTAACAATAAATTTAATAAAAGCGCCCTTGAGTAGAGGGATAACCGTTGCCATTCAATGGACGAGAGAGATGCAATATTTTTCAATTGTTGCTCACTTTTGTTGTTGTTCATCCGTAGCTATATCAAGTTTTGGTTCGTTTAGAATTGTGCCTTTTTTGGTGGTGTTTGGGTTGATTTTGGTTGGTTTTGGGTGGGATTTGGGCCTTTTTAGTTGAGTGTGGTGTCATGGTGTTTGAGATAGGGGTGTGTATTGTTATTTATGTTGATTTTTGTACGTGGCCGAAGGGCGGGGCAGGGGGCTGAGCGTTCTGATCGGGCGCCCGCAGCTGGGGCTTGTTTTAATTCCTTTTTCAATTGCCCCAACTATATTTTATGTTACATACACGCACGCGGTCTGTACATGGGGTCAGATAACGGTTTATGGGAGAATAAACAATTTTACTTCCAACTGTGCAGGGGAAATGCTAGGATTAATTTAAGGAAGACGCAAGTTCTTTTTATGGTTTGAACATCTTAACTTTTCACCCGCATCATAACGGTTTTTTAGGTACAGAACAGCAACAACATGCTAAGTATTTTTACTAAAACAATCAGTCAAGAAAAGCAAAAATAAATGAATGGAAAACAAAAAGTTGGTTGGACTCACATTGGATTAGATAATATCGTCAATGACTTTTATTTAAAAAAAAATATGTCGCATTATACAATTGCTACAAGACTTGGACGAATAAAAGCTACAAGAAGAAGCTAACTTACAAACTTTAAGTTGTATACCGATCTTAAGATCCTCCTGTCTCTATCTAGCAAAAGAGCCCGAAATCTCAAGCTAGAGGTGACATACATAACATTAATGAAAGATATGATGTTTAATTTCTCTAGTTGTTACTTTACAGGGATAGTGTAGGGATAGTTTTCATATTCAAAGTTCGGCACATGACATGTATGTAACAGGCATAAAGCGGGTCTGAAAAAAACACAAAAACTTAAATCCTACTTTATGAACATAGCTTCTTTTAGCTAACATCAAAGTGTATTTTACGTATTAAATCACAATCGCTACATTTCTACTTTGCGTCTTGCGGTGTTATTAAATTCGGATCGTTCCCATGCCATAGCAAACGAAAAAACAAATCAAAAAACATGACATCAAAATTGTTGCATTTCCTGGATTTGTAAAAAGCAAAGTGTCGAGTAAAATGGATGGCTCGGATCAATCTAAACAAATCAAGTTGCTATTGGAATCACAATGGGACTGATTGCGCAGGATTCGGTTTCTGGACGCAATTCCGAATTGGCGCGATCTGTCAAATTCGGTGGCGGATGATGGATCGGTTATGAAGAGATCAAGAGAGGAACGTTGATGTTTGAGGAAGAATTGATTAACCTAAGTAAAAAATGTAGTAAAAATAATTATAGGATCGACCATAATTATTTTACTCTTTTATTGCAGAACTGTGTTACAAGTGTTACAACTAAGTAGTACTAAACTGAAAGTAACCATTATATAGGGTGACAGGGATATTCGACCGATGATCTCTAGTATAATAACCCCTATCAAGGAATAGGTCTTTTCTTTAATAGGTAAAATAGTGTAAAATAGGTAACCTACGTTCAGCTGGTAGAAGACGGCTCTACCAAAAACCAAAAAAAAGTTCAAAGACAAAAATAAATTAATATGGAGTTTCCACCAAAGCGGAGTGATCCTCATCAGCTGTGAAGCTGTGCGGAGAAGAGATGTGGAAATACCGAAATCTGATTGGTCTTAATGCAAAACACATCTCCTCTCGTCTCCTTTGCGCTTTGGTGAAAACATTTTCTCGTAGACTTCATGACAATTTCATACTACACGACAGGTGTACCAATTCGCTCAAAACACATCAAATTGACCGATACCGTTAAGAATTTGTGAGCAGTATTTTTGTGTAATCTTTGGAGCCTACAATAGAAACGATACGTCAAAAGTGACATGTCGAGCACTACAGAATTGCACCTCGCCTTAATATTTTATTCCGTAGCCTCTTGCTTGGAGGAGCGACTGATCGATATGCCGTTAGTTTTATTGTGAAATTATAAAGGAACTAAATCACTATTGTAGTTGGGCTTTGTTGGCGTGAGCTTGATGTAGCGTTCGTCGTATCGTCTGATTCCTTGTTCAGAAGTCTCTTAATTAGCTTTGATTAACTTTGAGTCATTGATCAGATGATTACATTATATGTATAAGAGAACATTTTTCTTATTCTCATGAAAATATCACTGAACATTCTGAAAAGCTAACGCGCATTAAGATTATTAAAAAAGAAAGCACTAGTGCTCTAACCTATGAGCATTTTTAATTACCTTTTGTTGTTATTTGTATTTTCGAAGATACTTACTTCTGTTTTCTCATCATAATTTATGGATAAAATTATTTTTCAAATTCAATGCTTGAAATTATTATATGCTGTGTGTGTAAGCCGAAACAAACATTGCATCTTTATGCAGACACTATGCAATATCCTATGCAACATTATCTGTTCACTTACTGAACGAACAGAAAGATCGATTTATTTATAAACTAGCTTTTGCCCGCGGCTTCACCCGCGTGAAATTTATTTTGTCACATATTGTCATAAATTATAGCCTATGTGTTATTCTGGGTTATAAACAATTATACTGTAAAGTTTCATCAAAATCCGTTCAGTAGTTTTTGCGTGAAAGAGTAACAAACATCCAAACATCCCAACTTTCGCATTTATAATATTAAGATTGTTACAATGTAGCTAACCTGTTATGAAAAGATTCTGTACCTACTTAACATTGTGGTTTCCATGTGTGGTCATTTGAAAAAGTTCGCTGTTTTTTCATTCACATTCTCAAGATTGGTTCACAATTAAACTATAACTATTACATTTACTTAAAAACCGTAGCAAACTACAATACGTTCATTCATAAATCTTTTTCGATAATATACTCTTCTTTCGTAAATGCCTTAATTTCTTTATAAAATTCATATAAATCTTCAGTACAAAGACCTACGGATGATTCTGAGTGAGTTTGGTAGAATTTCTTGAAGAGCGTGACAACTTTATAGAGCGTTTTTTTATCTGTGGGCCAGTTTTTTGTCTGTGGTCAATTACTACGGCTGTCAATGGGGCTCATGAATGGAAGTTGTAGGTGTCGTATTCACAGGGTGTTGTAAGAAGATGCAATAGAAAACGAGAGCGTTATTCAGATTTGCTTTCACATTATGCCTACATAGATTGTTTTTTCATGTTTGGTGATGATCTTGACAAGCATTACCTACCTACTCTATTGTTTGTTACTCTTCAATTGTTCTTCAGACTTTTTTTCTTTTGGAAATCTTTAAATAGACTTCGGACGCAGATCGGCCGTAGTAAGGACAATCTGTTCAGGTGCGGATTCTGGGATGGCTCAAACTTGGAGTGCAACTGCAAGTCTACGAAGCACATGATGTCCTGCGTGCCCAAACAACTGCACACAGGAAGATTTAATGTAGGCTACTGACAACGCCATTCTTCTGGCGGAGTTTTGGGCTGACGCTGTGTAGGTTTGTTGTCGACACGACAAGAAGAAGAAGAACATTGTCATTAATGATAGTCGTAGACGTAGATAGAGCGTCCATCGCTACCTTGTATTTTACTGGACAAAATAAATTTTTCGAGAGTTTTGTAACTGTAATTTTAAACTTATATGATTACTTACACATTTAAATTGCAAACCTATTTTAACTGCAGAAAAGCAAACCTTGATTTGCCGTGGTTTTTGCAGACAATTGAGTTTTCTCCGGCAATATCTAACTTACTTCAGTTACTCCTTACTTTACTTGTGTCCCGTGGTTCCCGAGTTTTTCACCGGCCAGTTTCTACCAACTTCTTTTATTTAGTGAGCATCCTGTACATGTTCCTCGACCAGTGTGGTCCCGCGAGCGAGTCTAGAACAACGGGGGCCATAAATCTGGCCCCGCGGCGCCATTGTGTGAGGCCACTGTGCGCCTTCATTCATAAACTAGTGACGTCTAGAGCAGACGTCTTGACGCCGGCCACTGGCTATCCTATAACTTGTAGGCCAAATATAGAAAAAACTAGGATGATTCTTGTACAATAGAGATCATGCGATCAGTAAGTGGGCCTAGGACACGAGAAACTTTTATCGAGGCATTTTATCGATTTAACGTGATAAACTCATACATTTGTCGATTCATCATTAATAAGATTTTATCATGGCGAGCATCCTAGCCAGGCAGCAGAATATTACAGGTTTTTTCAATACCTGTTACACTTTATCAAAAAAGCTTGTTTTCTTAATAGAGCTTTAATCAAGAAGGTACGTCTCTTGATAAATGATTGGTTCACCATAAGCACTTTCATTCCGTATTCCATATTAAAAATCATTTTGTGACAAATGTAGGTATCGAACGTCCATTAATTTAATTTTGAATTGAACTAAAATTGATCTAAGATAATAGTTTTATCACTTTGTAATGTTTGTTACAATTTTGTGTGGATAGCACTTTGTAAACTAACTAAATATGCCGATCTAAATTCAAGAGTTGACAGTTGAAAGAGTACTCTAATAAAAGTTGCCCAAATCTGGCTGAATTTGATTCAATTAAGAATGGTAAAATTAAACGTTTAATGAATCAGAGCTTATAAATGAAAGCTCAGTTTTGGAAGTCTTTTGATATGATAGGTTTGTAGTTGAATTTCTCGTTGAATCATGTATTCTGTAGATATATCATCATATTGTTTGATCACTTTGATTCACTTTATTACGTGAGATTTTTAATACAATTCTTCCATATTATCACTAACAGACTTCAGACGAATATTGTCTATTCCGTAAAGACTATTTTCCCTTCTTTTTCATACTTACAAATTGACTTTCCCCACGCCTCGCCATGATTTTTAATCTGCAACCATTTTAAAAAGTCAATAATAATAATGTAACCC